GTGTAAAACACCATTGTGTATGACACCATGTTTCAAAGAGTTCCACAAGCTGCACAACTTCTAGGAATATGTTCGGTGACTGTACAGTGGTATATATATTATAGAACAATAGTAATAAACAATTTTTTGTATTGTTTATTTTGTAAACAAGTTTTGTAAACAATATATTGATAATTATGTTTGTGTGCTTATTGTGTTGTATACAATGAGTGTATATATGTACATTGTACCTTACTTTGGTCTCACAGGCCACATAGGTTATGTGAAAAAAAAAACAAACCTTCAAATACAAGTAAACCAAAGTTTACTGGGTGAGCGGCAGTCACCACTGTTGCCATACGCGGCTCATTTTCTGCAAACTTTACACCTCTATATCTTGGTAAGTACTGATGGCAAAAAAAAAATTTTTTGGGACTAAAACACTCAGAAAAATAATCTTAACATTTTCATAAGAAAAACTAATTTTTTTTTTTTTTTTTAATATTTTGTGACATAGAATGGCAATTTCAGAAAGGGGCCTGCAACAGTCAAAGGGTTAATATGGCATCCTCAAGACTAATAAAATGCTCTTAGTGATTTTAACCCTTTGACTGTTTCCGACGTATAAATACGTCTTACGAGCCAATGTTTCTGACGTATTTATACGCATAAATTCTGCAGCTTCAATCAAGCAGGAGAAAAAGTTTGCTAGGCCCACTTTGTGAGGGGAATGGGTCTCCATGGTCAGTGTGCACCATATAAAAAAAATCGGGGAGCCAGTGGTGCATTGTGGGAATGCCATTTCAGTTGTCATTTTTCAGCATGTCTAGTGGTAAGAAATATGTGATTCCCAGCAAATCGGGGACTCTTCTCTTCCCAAGTGATGCTCTAACACAGATGGAAGTGTCAGTGAAGATCAATTTCATGATTTGGAGGAGTTTGAGACCAAAAGCCCAAAGGAAGAGGAGGAGGGGGAGGAAGGGGAGGAAGAGGAGGAGGAGGAGGAGGAGGAGGGAAGGAAGAGGGAGGAGGGGGGAGGAGGAGAGAAGAGGAGGAGGAGGAGGAAGAAGAAGATGTAATAATATTGTTCCCTTGAAGCAAGAAAAAAAAAGTCCACCCCATGACAGTGACAAGATAAGGGGAGATAACATCTGATAAGAGCTGACTTTGATGAGCGTAAAGGAGGGTAATATTACATGACCATCGCCTCCCTTTGTTTTTTGCTGGTACACAAACATTTCTGTCTGTCTATTTGTCTGTCTGTCAAGCCCCCTGTCTGTCCATCTAGCTCTCTGTCTCAGAGAGAGCCACAAGACTGTGTCATCACGTTTACTCACATCTTCAAGCAGAGTATAGCACTTTGTCTGGATTTCTTGGGTTATCCTAGGTAATTTACACTATGTATACTTGTATTTATGTGTACCTGTGAGACAGAGATAGGCAGACAGAAAGAGAGACAGATTGAAAGATATAGAATGAGGGAGAAAGATAATTAGATAGAATGGAGGAGGGAAGCAGCATCCGACCCCATTGTTTTGACAGGGGTAGGGGTAGTGACTAATGAGACAATATGTCACTTTGACAGCTGCCGACTTCTGACTCAAAACAATTATAAGCCACACACTCGCACACAAGGAGGAGGAGGAGGAGAAGGAGGAGAAGGAGGAGGAGGAGGAGGAGAAGTAGGAGAAGGAGGAGAAGGAGGAGAAGGAGGAGAAGGAGGAGGAGAAGGAGGAGGAGAAGGAGGAGGAGAAGGAGGAGGAGAAGAAGAAGGAGGAGAAGAAGAAGGAGGAGAAGAAGAAGGAGGAGAAGAAGGAGGAGAAGAAGGAGGAGAAGGAGGAGGAGAGGAAGGAGGAGAAGAAGGAGAAGAAGAAGGAGAAGAAGAAGGAGAAGAAGAAGGAGAAGAAGAAGGAGAAGAAGAAGGAGAAGAAGGAGGAGAAGAAGAAGAGAAGAAGAAGGAGAAGAAGGAGGAGAAGAAGGAGGAGAAGAAGGAGGAGAAGAAGGAGGAGAAGAAGGAGGAGAAGAAGGAGGAGAAGGAGGAGAAGGAGGAGGAGAAGAAGGAGGAGAAGAAGGAGGAGAAGAAGGAGGAGAAAAGGAGGAGAAGAAGGAGGAGAGAAGGAGGAGAAGAAGGAGGAGAAGAAGGAGGAGAAGAAGGAGGAGAAGAAGGAGGAGAAGGAGGAGGGGAAGAAGGAGGAGAAGAAGGAGGAGAAGAAGGAGGAGAAGATAGGAGGAGAAGAAGGAGGAGAAGAAGGAGGAGGAGAAGAAGTGAGGAGAAGAAGGAGGAGAAGGGGAGAGTAGAAGGAGGAGAAGAAGGGGAGAAGAAGAGGAGAAGAAGGAGGAGAAGAAGGAGGAGAAGAAGGAGGAGAAGAAGGAGGAGGAGAAGGAGGAGAGGAGAAGAAGAAGAAGAAGAAGAAGAAGAAGAAGAAGAAGAAGAAGAAGAATTGTTTGTTTGTTTGTTTGTTTGTTTGTTTTTGTAAACAAGTTTTGTAAACAATATATTGATAATTATGTTTGTGTGCTTATTGTGTTGTATACAACGAGTGTATATATATACATTGCACCTTACTTTGGTCTCATAGGCCACATAAGTTATGTGAAAAAATAAAATAGTGAAAAAAACAACAAACCTTCAAATACAAGTAAACTAAAGTTTACCGGGTGAGCGGCAGTCGCCGCTGTTGCCATACGCGGCTCATTTTCTGCAAACTTCACGGCTCTATATCTCGGTAAGTACCGATGGCAAAAAAATTTTTTTTGGACTAAAACACTCAGAAAAATAATCTTAACATTTTCATAAGAAAAAATAATTTTTTTTTTGAATATTTGGCGACATAGAATGACAGTTTCAGAGAGGGGCCTGAAACAGTCAAAGGGTTAATGTGTACCTGCACACCAGCACAGTGTGTAAGTTTATTTAGGTACAGTTACACATAAGTATAATTATCAGAGTACATGTATATATAAAATATGAGATAACTTTAACCCTTTCAGGGTCCAAGGCCCAAATCTGGAGTCACGCACCAGTGTCCAAGAATTTTCAAAAAAAAAAAATTTTTTATTTTTTCTTATGAAATCATAGAGAATCTTTTTGTGAAGGTAATAAAACAAAAAGTACGAAATTTGGTGGAAAATTGACGAAATTATGCTCTCACGAATTTTGATGTGTCAGCGATATTTACGAATCGGCGATTTTGCCGACTTTGACTCCCATTTTAGGCCAATTACATTATTCCAATCAACCAAATTCTTAGCTATTTCACTAGTATTACTTCTATTCTATCGATTGAGCACAAGAAATCGCCAAGTCAACTGTTTCAACTACAAAATAAAGTGATCGGAAATTGTTAATTTGGCCAATTTAACACAAAGTTCAAATATTCCAATTTCAAAATAGGGTCTAGAATGAACAATGTAGGCATTCCTGGCACTAAACTAACATTTCCTCTGTTCATTAGTTATGTTTTGAGGCTTTACAAATAAATTCCATTTTGATTTTTATTCACATAATGAATTTTTATTCACACCAAAAAATAGAAGATTTACTGTTATGCAATACTGTAATAATTGTATAAATATCATCACCATATTTGTGAATGTATATTAGACCCACCAGCTGACGTGTATTAGACGTGTGAGGTCGTTTGTTTACTCTTGAATATCGGCAAAAATTTAACATTTCTGCTACTTTGAGCTCAGTTTCAAGCCATTTCCATTGCTAAAACCAATCAAAATCATCTCTATTTCTGTAATATGTCTTCCATTCTATCAAATGAGACCAAGAAATCGCAAATACAACTATAAAAAACATACGAAAAAACACTGCAAAGTTGCTCTTTTAATCGAAAAATCATGATTTCATTTTTTTTCTCTCATTATACACAGTGTGCTGCAGGATCTGTTTTATGTGGTGCACACATACCACATAGATGTATTCTCTCATATCTAGGCCCAAATGTACCACTCACAGTTATCAGAGTGAGCTGAGCTCATGGCGTAGATCTACGGTTTGGACCCTGAACGTAAAGCCGTAGATCTACGGGACGGACCCTGAAAGGGTTAAAACACTTGAAATTTTGGAAAGTTTCCAAACATAATGGAGAGTCATGCTCACTGAGAATATAAACAAACCAGGTGAGGTGCGGTGACCATATTAGAAAGAGGGGTAGCTGTAGCGAGTTTTGGTCGTAATTTGAAATGTCTGTATTAGCAGAACATCATAAAGCGGGGCCTTACTGTAAATAGTATATATTTATTAATTTTTTTTTCAACAAACCAGCTGTATCCCACAACGGCAGGGTGACCTAAAAAGAAAACCGAAAGTTTCTTTTTTAAAATTTAGTAATGTATGCAGAAGGGGTTACTAGCTCCTTGCTCTCGGTATTTTAGTTGCCTCTTATGACATGTATGGCTTACAGAGGAAGAATTCAGTCCCACTTCGCCATGATGTTTTATGAATTTTTATTGTTATTATTTTTTTTCTTGACAAACCAGCCGTATCCCACCAGGGCAGGGTGACCCAAAAGGAAAAACACAAGTTTCTCCTTTTACATTTAGTAATATATACAGGAGAAGAGGTTACTAGCCCCTTGCTCATTATTATTGTTATTATTATTATTATTCTTATTGTTATACAATGGCCATCTCCCACCAAGACAGGGTGACCCAAAGAAGAAATCACATTCACCAACATACACTCAATTGCAGTCTTTCTAGAAGTGTTAACATCACAATCAGAGTGCCCCTCTGACTGCAACATCCCCATCCCTCCTTTAGAGTGCAGGCACTGCCCTTCCCTTCTCCAGGTTTCCCTGAATCACTTCATAAAAGTTACCTTGCTAACACACTAACAGCATGTTCATTAAAAGCCACTTGTCTCCACACATTCCTATCTAATATGCTCACACAAGCCTGCTGGGTACTCGTATTACTTTTTCTTTAACTTAATGGTCATCTTCCACTAAGGCAGGTTGACCCAAAGAAGGAAACATTCATATATTGCTCTAGTTATTATTATTTTCCAGGTCAAGTTTTACCTTTGTTGAATCCTGTGGTGGGTTTGGTGCAGCAACATGGTAGACTGGCAGGGTCGAAGTTACACAGTTGTACTTCTGCAGCCACATTAAGCCTTGCTACAGCTCTCTTACACCAGTGTCTCTTACGCTGCCAGGATGAGACTGCCCAACAGCACCTAGCTTACTGCCCAGTAGTGCCCTCGCTCCTCCATGCTGCTGAAATCTATATGAAGGTACGTTCATTATATATACTTCTCACAGTACTCAATGATCTTGGAATTACAGATTCTTTGTGAAAATAATAATCTAGTATTTTTTGTTCACACTATGATTTATATTTGGTGTGAGAGGTAGGGTTCCCCTCATTTTATGCAGATTTGCTTTGTGTGAATTTGTTAATGTATAATGTCCTGCTTCTGATGGTAATTCTGTATATGTGTTATACACTTGCAGTATTCAACCAGTGCAGTTTACAGAGTTTTGAAGAGTCATATGCAGAATTAATTTTTTCTCAGACCTGGAATGCATCTACAGCATAAAATGAGGGACCTGATGCCTCATAGTGAAAGCTGAGCTATTGATATGATTTAATCATTGAGAAGGAATAAAAGTAGTTTAATAAAGAAGGCATATAAAGCTGGAGTGAGTGAAGAATTTTTCAAAACAAAACTACATGAGGTACAGTAACTCCTGGAGGTGGGAGATACAGTACTTGCACTCTGAAGAAGGGGTGGGGGATATTGCAGTTTGGAGGGGCAACTGAGCTATAATGTTGTCATGCCTCTGTCAAGACAGTGATAGTGAGTGATGGTGAGAGAATTTCTTCTTTTTCGGGTCACCCTACCTCGGTGGGAGAAAGTTGGTGTGTTGAAAAAGCTTATATTTTTTCTTGCACTAAGTGAGTTTTTGTTATTTAATTTATATCATAACACTGCTCCATTCTACTGGCCAAATATTATTCAATCATTGTGGTTTCATAATATCTTAACACTGTTCTGTTTTACTGGCCTTACATTATTGAATGGACAACTTTATTTATACTGTGGTATATTCTATCTAGAACAAGCATTGTTTCTTTCTAAATTACCAATATTAAATCAAATTAAAGAATAAGGTATTTTTGTGTGTTATCTGTTTTCAGTTTATATTAATTTTATCTTTTTAGAATGGGGAGGAAGAAGTAGTAGGGGAATTACTGCGTCTACTGGCCACGCTCTCCCGCATTTCACAGCTTTCAGAAGAACTCTCCACACATACTCTTTCATCAACTCTAACATTAGTTATACCACCTTCAAAAGTGAGCTAACTAATAAAACAGTTTTGCAGTAGAAAGTTTTGTATGCCTGTCATATATTAGTAAGTTACTGTTTATCATAAAAGCATTCTGATGTTCATCATTGACATAGTAAAATACAGAAGAGTATTGTGATCAGTAGGTTGCTATCAGTGTAGTATACATTATTTTCTTCTACTTGAACATTAAATGTAAATATTTTATTTACCCTTGTTTTTTCTTTTACTAGACTAGTCTGCTTAGTGAAGTGGTGTGGGGAGTGGTGTGGGGTGTTATGCGTGAGGGTGTTGGAGGAGTCGAAGGCGGGGTGAATGTGGCTGCTGTTCACCTTTCAGCATTAAGTGGATCATTGGCAGCTCCTCATCGGCAGCCAGGTCTTGCTTTAGCAACAGCAGCCCTAGTAACAGCACTAGCCCCACATTCTTCACTTTGGATTGTTATGCACCCAGCATCACACTCCCAGTTGACAGCAGCCACTACTCGTTGCATTCACTTGACAACACACTTGCTCTGCACACCAAGGGTTAGTATCCCATTATTTTCATATTCTGCATTAAGGCTTATTTATGACCCACATGGGTTTAATACTTCACAGTTCCTCAAAATATTTTCTCCATTTCTTCAGTGCCTCTCCTGAACCATACCCTGAGGGTGGTTTAAGGGGTCACAATGTCCCCGGGTCCTGGTCTGTGACCAGACCTATGTAACAGCTTGTCAGTTTCACTCTTAATTTAACCGTTCTTGCTGCTTCATGTGTCGCCTGGTTGGTTCCAAAGTATTGTTCTCCATGAAAACACGAAAGTAGGCATATATGAGTTTTCATTGCTTTTTTAATTAGAAAAGACACAAGGTCTCCATATCTGACACTTACTTTCCTTGAAATTTTAATAGGTAATTAATTTTTCTCCTGTATAAATTACTAAATTTAAAAAGAAAAACTTTCATTTTTCTTTTTAAATTTAGTAATTTATACAGGTGATCTCAGTGAGATATGGTCGATTCATTGAAAAAAAAAAATTCTGTTGCTTGTGAATGATGGTAGTTTTTCATCATTGGTGGTATTGTGAATGGTGTTGCTGCATCACTGGGGCATTTGTGGATGGTGGTAATGGTGGTGTATCACTGATGGTGAATGTGGATCTTGGTGGTGTTGCTGTATCACTAGTGGCACTTGCAAATTGCACTGGTGTAGGCGGTGGTAGTGCTGCATTGCTGGTGTTGCTTGTGGATGGTGTTGTTTGTGGAAGGCACTAGTGGTAATGTAGCATGACTAATAGTACTTGTTACATGGTATGTACAAGTACTGCTGGTAAATGGTTCTGATGTTGCTTGTGAATGGCACTGATGTTGCTTGTGAATGATACTGGTGCTGCTACTGCATGACTGGCAGTGCTTGGGAATGTTACCTGTGCTGCTGCTGCTGCATTGCGTGCTGATTATGGATGAAAGAGGTGGTCGTGCATCACTGGTGATGCTCGTGGATGGCAGTGAAGATGGTGGTGGAGCTTGAGGATGACCATGGTGATGTTATTGTAGTAGTAGTATATCTCACTCCAAGTTTTTTCTCTTCACAGTTGTTGTCTGGGCCTTTGAGTAATACCAATCAGTCCAGTTTGGCATGGTGGTGAATTGAAGAAAATTATATAAAATATTATATAATGCTTAAAGAAAATAGAAACTAAAAAATAAAGTTAAATGTAAATACAATGATTTCCATCTGACATTAATGTGAGTTGTGTGACTTGGTTTGCAGGTAGTACAGATGGAGTTAAGTGGGGAGAAGAGCAGTAGTGGAGGTACAGCACCACTGTCCACCCCTGCTGCTGTAGAGTCCTCTGTTGCATCTACTACAGCTAATATTTCTGCCAATACCACTGCTGTTCTCAATCAGATGTTACAGGTTAGTTCTTTGTATGGTAGACAGTGCAGAAGAAACCTTTATTATAGAAGACATTTTGCTCCGAGTAGTTTTAACAAGTAATACAAAGAGTAATGTGACAGGACAGAACACTGAATAAAAGCACAGTGAATAGAAATGCAGAGAAATATATTTAAATTTGGGTTGTCATCTGTTATGAATCTGGCCCAAGGAGTAGAAAAACTCGAAACCCATTGAAGGAATATCAAGAGTGATGGGCATGGGCTTTAGGTTTTTCCATGTAAGAGGAATTCACTAAGTGGCTTTACAATATTAAATAGCCCATGATTCTGTTGCAGGTCTGTATGATTGTTGCTTCCAAACAATTCTCTTCTAGTCCTGTGTCTTTATGATAAGGGATTAGTTCTTCACATTATTTCAGTACACTTGTTATTTCTCACTGAGATAACCCTCTACCTCCCACTGAAGTAGTGACCCAGATAAGAGGAAGAACATTCACTGTCATTCCTTTAATCACCGTGTTGCCCAAAGTATGCTGACATCACAGTTCAGATGACTATCCAAATTGGAACATCCTAAACCTTTCCTAGGACTCAAATCTGGCTTACCAGTTTTTCCTGAATCTCTTAGTGAATGTTACCTTGCTCACACACTAACAGCACATTAAATCATAAAAACCACTTCTCCACTAAATCCCAGATTAATATACCCTCTCTGTCTTCCTATTCTGCTCCATCCTTTCTAAATACCCAAAACTCTGAATTATACTTTTGATAAACCCACACCTAATCTCCACACTCTGAATTGTTTGCATAAAATTCACATTGCCCTTGAATGTGATATCTCTACTGCTCCCAACTGCAGCCTCCTTCACATATACAGCATACAGTGGACCCCCGGTTAACGATATTTTTTCACTCCAGAAGTATGTTCAGGTGCCAGTACTGACCGAATTTGTTCCCATAAGAAATATTGTGAAGTAGATTAGTCCATTTCAGACCCCCAAACATACACGTACAAATGCACTTGCATAAATACACTTACATAATTGGTCGCATTCGGAGGTAATCGTTATGTGGGGGTCCACTGTATTAATATAATTAAGTTTCTGTTTTGCAGGTGCTATGTGCCTGTCTTGGTGCCATTGGCTCCTTAGGTCCTAATTTAACTGACCTTTTATGTGGGCCTGGAATAGATGTTGGAGCATGGATGCTCTTCTTCCATCCATCTTTCCGTCCAGTGTCTGCTCACGACCCAAGTGCTCAGCCCAGTTTGGCTTCGCTTACATCTGTACTTGATCTTTATGACAATCATGCTTCAAGGGCAAGTCGAATACCTTTATGTATTTGTTTATTGTTTTGTAATTACAGTAAACCCTTGATATAATAGACTAATAAAGGGATGATCTGGGTATCTGTTAAATCAGAATAATGTTAAAATATAGCAAAAGAAAACACTAAAGTACTTAACTATATACCTAATATAGTACTGTACATACATTTTACAGATATAGTGCAATAAACTTTGAAAATAAAGGAGTTTAAAATACAATTTAACCATAAATTTAAAAGTCCATTATATCGAAGATTTACTATATTATTGTGACTAGCGCAAGTACGAATGTTTTTCACAATGCTGGTTATTTTTTTTATTCGTGTGTGTGTTCATGCTCACTTATTTGTACTCGTCTATTTGTTGTTGCAGGGGTCAATTCTCAGTTCCTGGCCCTGCCTCATAGAGATCCCTAAATTTACTCCAACACATTTCTCTAGCTCTACCATCACCACTTAAAATAATTTTACCATGCATCAGTGGCTGCTGCAGATGATGGCACCACTACTGCCTTCAAGAACGCCCCACCTTCTACACTCCCTTTATATACTGAATGTCCATACATTGTATTAGTTTGACAAAACTTCTGATGAGTGAAATGTAGTTACAGCAAATGTCTTATCAGTTATTTGTGTCCATATACCTACCTACTTCTTGTATTACCAATAATCTTGTTAGACTTTGTAACACAATGGACATTTCAGGCATACATTACCTGGACAACCTTTGCAATACATAGTTTTTTAGTAGATTGGCTTGCAGAAAAGGTGATTATTAAATTTACTCCAGCACATTTCTTCACTTACTCCATCAATTGATGGAGCTGCTCACCCTCTACTGGCCTACCATTATAATGGCAGTCTGAAAACTATTTATTCCTTGTGTATATTTGCAGCATTTTTAACACTTTACAGATTCGATTGCAATATTTGTTTTTTCCAGTTGGTATAGAATATTAGTGATTGATCTATATACAGTGGAACCCCGGATTTCGTCCAGTGCGGATATCATACAATTTGGATTTCGACCAATTTTTTGGGCGAAATTTTACCCCGGGTTTCGTACCTCCGCTCGGAAATCATCCATACCAGACGCGTCCCCCTGGGCCACTCATATGTTCATGATACTAATTTTTTTTTTTTCAACAAGTCGGCTGTCTTCCACCGAGGCAGGGTGACCAAAAAGAAAAAAAATCTCCAAAAAGAAAATATTTTCATCATCATTCAACACACTCACCTCACTCATACATAATCAATGTTTTTGCAGAGGCACCCAGGTACAACAGTTTAGAAGCATATGTAAAGATACATATATAACATATCCCTCCAAACTGCCAATATCCCAAACCCCTCCTTTAACCCTTTAAGGGTCGAGAGGCCCTCTCCTAAACTTGTCCTCAGGGTCGAAAATTTTTCAAAAAAAAAAAATTATTTTTCTTAGGAAAAGATAGAGAATCTTTTCCTGATCATAATGACACCAAAAATATGAAATTTGATGGAAAACTTATGGAATTATGCTCTCATGAGGTTAGTGGTCTCGATGATGTTTACGCATCGGCGATTTTGCCCACTTTGAGCCCTATTTTCGGCCAATTCTAGTGTACTAGTCGACAAAAATTGTAAGTATTTAACTAGAAGAGAGTGGTGAGGGAGTGCAAAAGGAGAGCAGATGATAGAATGGGAGAGACACTGTCAAGAAATTTTGATGAAAATATGAAAAAAAATTGGAGTGAATTAAACAAGTTAAGAAAGCCTAGGGAATGAATGTATTTGTCAGTTAAAAACTGAGTAGGGGAGTTAGTAGATGGGGAGATGGCGGGAATATTTTTAGGAATTTTTAAATGTCGACGAAGAAAGGGAGGCGGTAATTTCACGCATTGGCCAGGGAGGTATACCATCTTGTAGGAGTGAAGAAGAGCAGGATGTGAGTGTGGGGGAGGTGCGTGAGGCATTACATAGAATGAAAGGGGGTAAAGCAGCTGGAACTGACAGGATCATGACAGAAATGTTAAAAGTAGGGAATGATGTAGTATTAGAGTGGTTGGTAATTTTTGTTTAATAAATGTATGAAAGAGGGGAATAAGTTTACTGAGTATACCAGGAAAAGTGTACGGTAGGATTATTATTGAAAGAATTAGAGGTAAGACAGAGAGTAGGATTGCGGATGAGCAAGGAGGCTTTAGAGTGGGTAGGGGATGTGTAGATCGTGTTTACACTGAAGCATATATATATATATTTTTTTTTTAACAAGTCGGCCGTCTCCCATCGAGGCATATTATTACCATCGACATGGTATGTCGATGGTAATAATATGGCTCTGGGCCACGTTAAATATCATGTACGTAGGATGTGGAAAAGTTGGTGGAGAGCTATCACCCTAACAAAGCTGTTGCAAGCCATGTCTGCATGGTCCAGTGACTCTCAAGCTGATCCTAGTGCCAGTAAAAGACAAAGAAGGGAAGTAACCCCAGATAGGGCTTTGATACCTGAAGTCCTTACGGAGGGGGATTTCCCTTCCAAACAATAACCTCTCTTCCCTCTCCTGTCCTTGCTGTCTTCCATACTCCAGTAAGTCTCTTCAGTAAAGGTAAAAGTGATTTAAATGTTCATTTATCCATTAAAATTAGTGAAGAGTTTTTACGAGGATAGTGAGGCTCAAGTTAGAGTATGTAGGAAAGAGGGAAATTATTTCCCAGTAAAAGTAGGCCTTAGACAAGGATGTGTGATGTCACCGTGGTTGTTTAATATATTTATAGATGGGGTTGTAAGAGAAGTAAATGCGAGGGTCTTGGCAAGAGGCGTGGAGTTAAAAGATAAAGAATCACACATAAAGTGGGAGTTGTCACAGTTGCTCTTTGCTGATGACACTGTGCTCTTGGGAGATTCTGAAGAGAAGTTGCAGAGATTGGTGGATGAATTTGGTAGGGTGTGCAAAAGAAGAAAATTGAAAGTGAATACAGGAAAGAGTATGGTTATGAGGATAACAAAAAGATTAGGTGATGAAAGATTGGATATCAATTGGAGGGAGAGAGTATGGAGTAGGTGAATGTATTCAGATATTTGGGAGTGGACGTGTCAGCGGATGGGTCTATGAAAGATGAGGTGAATCATAGAATTGATGAGGGGAAAAGGGTGAGTGGTGCACTTAGGAGTCTGTGGAGACAAAGAACTTTGTCCTTGGAGGCAAAAAGGGGAATGTATGAGAGTATAGTTTTACCAACGCTCTTATATGGGTGTGAAGCATGGGTGATGAATGTTGCAGCGAGGAGAAGGCTGGAGGCAGTGGAGATGTCATGTCTGAGAGCAATGTGTGGTGTGAATATAATGCAGAGAATTCGTAGTTTGGAAGTTAGGAGGAGGTGCGGGATTACCAAAACTGTTGTCCAGAGGGCTGAGGAAGGGTTGTTGAGGTGGTTCGGACATGTGGAGAGAATGGAGCGAAACAGAATAACTTCAAGAGTGTATCAGTCTGTAGTGGAAGGAAGGCGGGGTAGGGGTCGACCAAGGAAAGGTTGGAGGGAGGGGGTAAAGGAGGTTTTGTGTGCGAGGGGCTTGGACTTCCAGCAGGCATGTGTGAGCGTGTTTGAGAGGAGTGAATGGAGACAAATGGTTTTTAATACTTGACGTGCTGTTGGAGTGTGAGCAAAGTAACATTTATGAAGGGGTTCAGGGAAACCGGCAGGCCGGACTTGAGTCCTGGAGATGGGAAGTACAGTGCCTGCACTCTGAAGGAGGGGTGTTAATGTTGCAGTTTAAAAACTGTAGTGTAAAGCACCCTTCTGGCAAGACAGTGATGGAGTGAATGATGGTGAAAGTTTTTCTTTTTCGGGCCACCCTGCCTTGGTGGGAATCGGCCAGTGTGATAATAAAATAATAAAATATATATTTCTCATTGTTTTTTGTATGTAAAACTATAGTTATTCTTTATAAAATGTATTTTTTGTTAATATTTTTGGGTGTCTGGAATGGATTAATTGGATTTACATTATTTCTTATGGGAAATATTACTTTGGTTTTCGTCCATTTCGGATTTCAACCGACCTTCTGGAACGGATTAAGGACAAAAACTGGGGTTCCACTGTATTCACAGTACCTGTTTTCTTTGACCAATTTTATATAATAGGGGGAAGCCCAGAATCAGATAGCCTGCTGGTTCCTAAGAAATTTACATCACAAATTTTGAACATAGCCCACAATTCCTCTTTAGGAGGTCATTTAGAGATTACGAAAACTCTATAGAGAGTATTGAAAGAGTTTTACTGGCCAAAAATAAGGCAAGATGTAAAGAATCACATCTTGCCTTATTTTATAAAAAAGAAAAATTGCCAACAGTGCGCACTCATTATATCTTTTGAGTCGTTAAGCCAGATAGCACTGTTGTGTGTAACCAAAGAAGAACCATTAATGGGGGAAAGTTGCTTGTCTAAATTTTCACCACAGTGATGTGTCAATGGGTAACTAGTACACACTTCACATTGGTCATTTGTTTTCTATTGCTGTTACTTTTTCTATTCTTAGTTGCTGTATGTCAAGGAAAACACTTTTCTAAACATGTTTTTGTACTGTAGGATACGTACATGAGATAGCCTGTCTGTGAAACGGTGAGATTGAGCATTTATCATATATACGTATGTAAGACGGAAAATTATTGTTAACTTGTATACTTTTATTGCACAGTGTTATGCTCTGAAAATATTTTTCCCCAATTATGAATTCATAGAAATAATAATTGCAACAGGAAAGTCGTGGAGTATCTCCATGCCGTGGTGGCGTACCTGAAGTTGGCCTGTGTCTTCGAGTGTTAGCTATTTGTGCAGAGCAAGCGCTCTTGCTGCTACTTACTCAGGCTACCTTAGCATTAATGAGTCCTGAAACTCCTCCTCGAGATGCAGTTCGAGTTCGTCATGGACTAGCAGATGAAATGGTAAGTGTCAGCATTTTACATACTGTATTACATTTCCCTATTTTGCCGTGCAGCATATAGGCCTCATTTTGTTTTTTTAATGAACTGGCCATATCCCACCAAGGCAGGGTGACCTAAAAAGAAAAACGAAAGTTTTTAAATTTGGTAATTTTTACAGAAGGGGTTACCAGCCCCTTGCTCTATAGGCCTCATATTTAACTAAAAAAAATATTAATAATAACAATTTTATGATGAAGATGCACTACAAACATTACTTGTCTGGGGAGCCATATGACATAGGGTGCATTTTCAGTCCTTGAAATCATAGTTTTACATAGCACCTCATATAATTCGAAGGGTATATTCTCAGCTGCAGATATTTTTTATTTTGAAGTCGCTAGGTTAGGTTATTTTGCCTTTGTTAAAAAAGTTAGGTAGCAAGTGCACGGAAGCATCAGCATTACACTGAAGCATAAATCACCAACCATACACATGTGAATCTTCAGCAGACAAAATACCAGTGAGGGGCTCCTTGAGCCATATAATTGTACTTACCCTCCCCTTCCTTGAATCAAACCTGAGGCTCCTATTTCCTATATACTGTACAACTCCCTACAGATTTACCAGTTTCCCAAGAACATAATGCTAATAATAACCCCCTTTTGCTCTTTAAATTAGTCTAAAATTAGCTATCATGTAGTTTCTCGTAAATTGATTTACCCCTTATTATTAACGTTAGTATCTGAATAAAGCAATAACTTTGATAATTTAAGTAAATATTGATATGGTATTAACAATCATATCAGTAGTGCATATTGAAAAAAATATGTAATCTATTCAACTGAAGAATATTCTTATTCACACCTCACACCAGTGAAGGATTTGTGATTCGAAAAGGTAGATCTGTCCTCCTCTTGAATTGGATCTGATTCCCCCCCCCCCCATTTCCCATATGCTTTTACTCCTATGGGTTTAGTGGTTTCCCTAGATTAATAACAGTTCTATGTGTTCACGATTTACTTAATATCTGGTTTTCAGAATTCTTTCTTTATGCGATGGTTGGGTCGACGTCCAGCAGTATCACCTCTACCAACCACTAGCACTGGAGTATTTGGAGTTGGCAGTTCAGTGCATATCGATTTAACATACCTACGCCTTGCCCAGCAGCTTATAGGAAGACTTGGTGCAACTAAATGATAGTAGTAAATATGCATTTCACAATTTTAGAACATGTTAAAGACAACATCCATGAAGGTCACATTTTTTTTTCACAAAATGGTGTGCTCAGTATACCTGTAATGCCTAGAAAGGGTTCATTTTCTCCTCATTCTGTTTAGTAATTGTTGCTCTTTGAATAACAGTGAGTAGACATCACTTGAGAGCCCATTCTGGCAAAATAGAGCACCTGTGCATTATTATAGAAAAAAAATGAAATGCAACTAAAACTTGTAATATGAATCTGGAATTATGATGTTCTACATATAGCTGAAAGTGCCATAGTACTGAAAGATTGCATTTTTCATGTTTGGAGTCGCAGTAGATGTGCTATACAAGCTCAGAGTACTACAGTACAGTAATAAAAGTTGGTATCTTTAGTTTATTAAGCTAAAGATCTGTTAAATGCATGAGGATCTGTGGCAGTAGACCTCAGCAACCAAAACATACCACCAGTTTTAGAGGTTGAAAAAAATTGTCTGTCATTTTTGCTAAACATTTGGTGTTTTACATTATACAGTACAAAATAAAATATTAGGTGCTGTATGAACTATGTGGGTTTAGCTCTTCCATCAGATTATTATCACAACATTTCTGAAGTAGTAGTGTATAATGTATATTTTGTCGAAGTTTTATGATCACAATGTTTAAAAGTATCTAAGGATAAGAATATTGGGGAAGTGGAACAGAATTCTTCCTCCATGAGCTATGCGTGTTGTAAGAGGCGACTAAAATGCTGGGAACATTACTAAAGTTAAAAAGAAACTTGTTTTTCTTTTTTGGGCCACCCTGCCTTGGTGGATATATAGCCGGTTTGTTGAAAGAAGAAGAATATTGGCAATAGTACAAATACTCAGTATGCATGATTAATGTTTAGACATGATTAACAAAGTATACTTATACATACAGTATACCTGCATGAAGAGCTAAGGTTTTAAAATTTTTGTAAGTTTAGAGGTTTTTCTGACTGGTAGTGAAAAATCTGTAAAAACACAGATAACAGTATAAAGTCTAAGAATGATAACAGCATTGTGTGACCCTTATTGTTTTAGTGTTTGGTTATGATTATAATTGAGAATGATAAAACATTTAAATATATTTTTAAATGACATCACTTTGTAAATTATAATTAAAAGCGAATTCAAACAAGTGCAGTATTATTTCCTTTGTTCCTATCTCACACAAAAGAGAAAGGCACAGTACCTACCATTTCAAGTGTTGAGTTTTGGCTCCTAATCTGCAAGCTACGGATTCTCTGCACAGTATTCACACCACACATTGCCCTTAGACATGACATCTCCATTTCCTCCAGCCTTCTCCTTGTTGCAACATTCACCACCCATGCTTCACATCCACATAAATATTTGTACCATTATACTTTAATACATTACCCTCTTTGTTTCCATTGTCTCCACAGATTCCTCAATGCACCACTTGCCTTTTTTCCCCTCGTCAAGCCTATGGTTCACCTTGTCTTTCATCAACCCACCTGTTGACAAGTCCACTCCCAAATATCTGAACACATCCACTTCCTCTATACTCCTCCCTCCGATCTTTCATTACCTACATTTTTAATCATCACCTTGTTCTTTCCTATAGCATTCAAATTAAGTGGGACAGGAGTAAATTTTATAATTATCTCTTATGAAAAGCTGAAGATGAAGACATGAATTTGCTACCAACTTCTGGCAACCATCCAACTGCGGTGTTATCCTGTGACTTGTCAGTGCTACAACAGCTGTTGTTCTGTATGGCAATTCCTGCAAAGTGTGCTTACTGAGTGAATGGTTTCACCAAATTCTACCCTTCAATTCATGATTACCGCTGAAATTCTTGATGGATGTTACACCTAGGAAGTGTGCACGCATTGAACATAAGAACATAAGAAAGGAGGAACACTGCAGCAGGCCTGTTGGCCCATACTAGGCAGGTCCTTTACAATTCATCCCACTAACAAAACATTTGACCAACCCAATTTTCTATGCTACCCAAGAAATAAGCTCTGATGTGCAAGTCCCGCTCAAATCCAACCCCTCAAATGTTTTGTTAGTGGGATGAATTGTAAAGGACCTGCCTAGTATGGGCCAACAGGCCTGCTGCAGTGTTCCTCCTTTCTTATGTTCTTATGTTCAATGCGTGCACACTTCCTAGGTGTAACATCCATCAAGAATTTCAGCGGTAATCATGAATTGAAGGGCTCTGGTGGCCTGGTGGTTAACGCTCTCGCTTCACACGGTGAGGGCCTGGGTTCGATTCCCAGCCAGAGTAGAAACATTGGACGTGTTTCTTTCCACCTGTTGTCTATGTTCCCCATCAGTAAAATGGGTACCTGGGTGTTAGTCGACTGGTGTGGGTCGCATCCTGGGACACTGACCTAAGGAGGCCTGGTCACAGACCGGGCCGCGGGGGCGTTGACCCCCGGAACTCTCTCCAGATAAACTCCAGATAAACTCCCACTCGTGTACTTATCCAACCTAAATTTGAAACTACCCAAAGTCCTAGCCTCAATCACCCAACTAGGTAGACTGTTCCACTCATCAACTACCCTATTTCCAAACCAATACTTTCCTATGTCCTTTCTAAATCTAAACTTATCTAATTTAAATCCATTACTGTGGGTTCTCTCTTGGAGATATCCTCAAGACCTTATTAATATCCCCTTTATTAATACCTATCTTCCACTTATACACTTTGATCAGGTCTCCCCTCATTCTTCGTCTAACAAGTGAATGTTAACTTCAATTTTCAAACTTTCTTCATAAGGAAGATTTTAAGCTATGTATAATTTTTCCTAACGTAATGTTTTCTAACGAATTTATGTCCCTATCGTAATAGGAGACCAGAATTGAGCTGATAATAAATTACTGGTCTCCATTTACATATTAGCTATTTGAAAACATAAAATTAGACAGAAGAGTTGAAAATTTGAGCGTAGCAAATTCGAACTGTTGGAATTTTTGGAATTTTAAAGTTGATTAACGATTGTGAAGCTGTGTCGGATAATTATAAATCAAAAAGAAGCGCTAAGCCACAAGGCTATATTATTATAATCAAGGGGGAAGCATAAAACAAGGGATATAAGTGCCTGGGGGGGATGTGAGGATACACAGCTTAAATTGGAACGGAGGCACAAATCAATTCCTAAATCAAGAGCCCACTCACCAACATCAAGGAACCTTCCTGAGGGGAAAGGGCCTGCAGCGCATGCGTCGAGGAGATGGGGAAGAAAATGCAAGCAAGCGCTCATGGACAAAGGTTAGTGTGAATGAGTCCCAAGGAAAACCAGTAATCTAGAGTTAGGTCACCTGTTATAAATGGTGATTATTAAATATTCAACAAAAGTTTGAAGTTGGTGAAGACAAAGCCATAAAGAAACAATTATTGACTATTGCCTGAGGAAAAATGGCTGAAGTGTGCACTCAATCATAAGGTGTATGAAAAGTTATTTTCAGTTAGTGATTTTAAGAAGGTAAGATATGGTAGCAAAATGGAGCAAAGGCAAACTTTTCAGAATGGAATTCAACAAGTGCCAAAACACCATCTAAGATGTTTTTAGGAGATTTTACGATAAAGCCCTGGATGGTTTATGTTGATTATTTTTATATAACAAGGGAAGCGCTAAAACCAGAGATGTTACAGTGCCTGGGGGGGGGGAATGTGGAAGCATTGGTTAATTTGGAAACTGGGGTCAGATCCAATCCTAAATCAAGAGCCCCTCACCAACTCAAGGAACCTTTGAGGGGGTTATTGTTGAGGAATGATGAACAGTGACAAACACAAGCATCCTGGAATCATTTGGTTCTATTTGGCAGGTTTCCTGATGGAGGAAATTTCCAGCTGGATATGCGCAGCAATTCTGGAAAAATGCAAACATATTTAGAGAGTGGCCAAGCGTTTATATGGCCTGAGAATTCTTTGACCTTAACCCAAGAATCTATGGGCAATCAAACTGGGATACGAAACAGGACTGTTCAATGTGGAAGAACTGGGTATTAGGATTGGTACTGACATAAGAACTTGCAAAAAACTTTGTCCTTGACGCCAAAGTGAATGTTATAAAAGAAAGGTTAATCGTATCTCTTATAAAGTGTAATCATTGGCGTGTATTTTTCAAAGAAATGTCTGATTTCATCAGCATTATGCATCTATGTCACTTAATTTCCTTTTACAATACCCCAAAATTCATTCCCAACTTAGACATTTCTCAAAATTACCAAAATTGTCACAGTGGTCAAGAAAGCAACTGTAACAACTCCATTTGGTAGAATCTGATATTCTAATCCTCACACCACCCCCTCACCTGAGCATCACTTCTCTCACACCCCCTCTAATATACCGGAACGCGAAGTGGACATTCCAGGACCGGTCAAAGGCACTTTATGTTAAATAAGGTCTCCTGCTCTCCAGCAACTCTAACTGAGCTTCATCCTAGGAAAAGAAAAACTGCTTTTTATAACCTTTCCACCTATTCCATTACATGAACACTGTGACATGCCATCCCCACCCAGCCACATAATGCTTTTCCAAAATCCATAAATCTCACCGAGAAGCCCTTTATGCCTATCTAAAGCTGTTCAGTTATAGCTTCACTGTTTAACATATGTATATGTGAAAGCTTATTACGCCCCCCTGCCTTGTAATCGCCGGTGTGATAATAAAAAAATAAAAAAAAATAAATTCGGTCTCCATATACATATTGTAGCTATTGGAAATATGCTGATTTAAGTATCAGAAATTTCCCTTTAAAATTTGAGCGAGCAAATTTAATGTTGGGCAGATTCTCAAAAGCTGACGATTAAAGATTGGAAAGCTTGTCGAGGGTTTTTAACAAAAAAGAAGCGCTAACCACAAGGGGTTCAGCGCATGCGTCGAGGAAGATGGGGAAAAAAATGCAAAAACCGCTTCATGATGACAAGGTTATAAGTGTGTGAAGGATCCCAAGAAAAAAACCCGTAAACTAGAGATTTAGGTTTACCTGTTATAAATGTTGATTTTTTAACTATTCAACAAAACTTTTGAAGTTTGGGTGAACGACGAAAGCCAAAAAAGAAACAATTATTTATATTTCCCTGAAGAAAAAATGGCTGCAGGGCATCATCATAAGGGGTGGATGAAAATTATATTTCAGATGAGGTTTTTGAAGCATAGGACAGATTAGTTGGGAGCAAAAAGGGGCAAAGGCAAACCTTTCAAAGGGACACATTCAACAATTTCCAAACACCCCTCTAAGATGTTTTGGAGTATTTTACTGATAAAGGCCCTGGATGGGTTTTTTTGTTGTTTTTTTTTTAAATCAAGGGGGGAAGCCTAAACCCAGAGGGTTAACATGCCCGGGGGGGGGGGGTGTGGAAGGCATTCAGGGTTAATTTGGGAAATGGAGCACAGACCAATTCCCCAAATCAAAAGCCCCCCACCAACATAAGGAACCTTCCCTTTGGGGGGGTTATTGTTAGGAAGATGAAAAAGTGACAAAAAACAAGGCAATCCCCGGGAACTCATTTTTTTTCTATTTTGGACAGAGCTTTTTCCCGATGGAGGTATTTCCCAGTGGGTCTTGCCCCTGCCACACTTTTGGAAAAAGCTAACATTCTTCGAAGAGAGTGGGCCAAGCGTTCTAAACTGGCCTGGAAATTCTCTTGACCTTAACCCAAGAATCTATGGGCAATAACAAACATGGGGTCACGAAACAGGGCTGTTCAATGTGGGGAGTAAGGCGCTATAGGGTCGGTACTAAATAAAGAACTTTTCAAAACGCATTAAATTTGGGCGTTCACGCCCAAAACATGTACAATGCTTATAAAAACAAAGGGGAATCGATCCTTTATTAAATGTCATATCATTGCTGTGTATTTTTCAAATAAATGTCTTATTTCATCACTGTCCCAATTATGCACACTATGTTCACTTTTAATTTCCTTTTACATACCCTCAAAAATTCATTCACCAACTTCTGCAACTTTTCTTCAAAATCTCCCAAAAACACAGTGTCATCAGCAAAAAGCAACTGTAACAACTCCTACTTTGTGTTAGATTCTTTATATTCTAATCCCACACCACCTCCCTCACCTGAGCATTCACTTCTCTCACACCCCCATCTCTAACTATACACACTGAACCAAAGTGACATCATCCATCCTTCTCTAAGGCCTACTTTTACTGTTAAATAATCTCCCTCTCTCCTACATACTCTAACCTGAGCTTCACTATCCTAGTAAAAACTAACTGCTTTCAGTAACCTACCACCTATTCCATACACTTGCAACATCTGTGACATTGCCTCCCCACCCACCCAATCATAATGCTTTTTCCAAATCCATAAATACAACGAAAACCCCTTTACCCTTATCTAAATGCTGTTCACTTATATGCTTCACTGTTTTACTTACTTACTTACTTACTTACTAAACGCTTGATCTACACATCCCCTTCCATTCCTAAAGCCGTTCATATACGATCCTGCTTTCTGTCTTGCTCTTAATTCTTTCAATAACTATAATACACCTTACCAGGTATATTTAACAGGCTTATTCTCCTATAATTCTTACACACTCTTTTGTCCCCTTTGCATACTCTTCCAAACCCTAGGTACCTTTTCCTTGCTCATGCAGTGCTGTATGACCCTCATGGGCTTAGCACTTAGTTTTGATTATAATAATAATATTCATTTTGCTCCAACCATTCCAAAACTATATCCCCACCTGCTTTTAACATTTCTGTCTTGATCCTATCAATCCCGGCTGTTTTACCCCCTTTCATTCTACCCACAGCCTCACACACCTCCCCCACACTCACATCTGGCTCTTCCTCACTCCCAAAAGATGTTATACCTCCCTGGTCAAAGAGTAAAATCACAGCTTCCATATCTTCATCAACATTTAGCAGTTCCTCAAAATATTCTCTCCATCTCTGACATCTCCAACTCTCCATCTAATAACTTTCCTCTTCTATTTTAAACGTATTCAGATATTTGGGAGTGGACGTGTCAGCGGATGGGTCTATGAAAGATGAGGTGAATCATAGAATTGATGAGGGAAAAAGAGTGAGTGGTGCACTTAGGAGTCTGTGGAGACAAAGAACTTTGTCCTTGGAGGCAAAGAGGGGAATGTATGAGAGTATAGTTTTACCAACGCTCTTATATGGGTGTGAAGCGTGGGTGATGAATGTTGCAGCGAGGAGAAGGCTGGAGGCAGTGGAGATGTCATGTCTGAGGGCAATGTGTGGTGTGAATATAATGCAGAGAATTCGTAGTTTGGAAGTTAGGAGGAGGTGCGGGATTACCAAAACTGTTGTCCAGAGGGCTGAGGAAGGGTTGTTGAGGTGGTTCGGACATGTAGAGAGAATGGAGCGAAACAGAATGACTTCAAGAGTGTATCAGTCTGTAGTGGAAGGAAGGCGGGGTAGGGGTCGGCCTAGGAAGGGTTGGAGGGAGGGGGTAAAGGAGGTTTTGTGTGCGAGGGGCTTGGACTTCCAGCAGGCATGCGTGAGCGTGTTTGATAGGAGTGAATGGAGACAAATGGTTTTTAATACTTGACGTGCTGTTGGAGTGTGAGCAAAGTAACATTTATGAAGGGATTCAGGGAAACCGGCAGGCCGGACTTGAGTCCTGGAGATGGGAAGTACAGTGCCTGCACTCTGAAGGAGGGGTGTTAATGTTGCAGTTTAAAAACTGTAGTGTAAAGCACCCTTCTGGCAAGACAGTGATGGAGTGAATGATGGTGAAAGTTTTTCTTTTTCGGGCCACCCTGCCTTGGTGGGAATCGGCCAGTGTGATAATAAAATAATAAAATAAAGTCCATTTGTGCCCTATGCTTTCTCAATGTATTAATTTCACTTCAAAACTTTTTCTTAGTCTCAGCAAAATCTGTTGACAGCATTTCACCCATTCTCTCATTTGCACTCCTTTTACAGTTCTTCACCACTTTCTTAACCTCTCCTTTTCTCTCCATATACTCCCTCCTGATATCACTTCTACTTTGCAACAACCTCTCATATGCTAACTTTTTCCCTCTTACTACCTCTCTTTACCTCATCATTCCACCAATTGCTCCTCTTCCCTCCCACACCCACCCTCTTATTCCACAAACTTCTGCTTAACACACTAACACTGCATTCTTAAATCAACCCTATACCTCTTCAACCTCATTGCCTATACTCTCACTAGCCCATCTTTCTACCAACACCTTTAATTTATAAACCTTCACCTCATTCTTATTTTCTGATACCATTCTCCTTGTGCCCCATCTACCTTTGACTCTCACTGTAGCTACAACTAAAGAATGATTTATCTGTTGCCCTCTGTAAATATGCACATCCTGAAGTCTACCTATCAACCTTTTATCCAATATAGACCAACAAACACTGTCCTTTTACCCTATATCATACCTCATATACTTATCCTTTTTTGTTTTTTGTCTTAAAATATGTATTAAAAGTCCCAAAATCCATTTGTCTCCATTCTCTCCTAACATGCCTACTGTATGTCCAAGCCCCTTGCACACAAAACCTCTTTTACTGTTTAGAGTGACATCTGAATTGTCCTATGTGGGCACCTCTGCAAAGACAGTAATCATTAGGAGACGGCTGACATGTTAAAAAAAAAAAAAAGTACAGTGGAGCCTCTACTTACAAGTGCATCCACGTGTGAGTTTTTTCAGACATGAGCAGTCTCTTGGTCGCTTTTTTGTTTCCAGACGTGAGCGAAATTTCCAGATGCAAGCGGGCCTCAAAGGAGGTTCCTTGATGCTGGTGAGGGGCTCTTGCTCGTAATCTAGGGATCTGGATCTCAGTTGTTTGTTGGACTATCTTATTGAAACTTGGGCAATGTATGATGGAAAGTTGCTTCTTAGCGTACACCAAAATTGAAAGAAATCGGACCACAAATAATGGAGTTCACTTCTCAGCCATTAGCCTTCCTTTAACAGTATATTTTCACATGGTTTTTATAGTTGTATTCTCGTTTTTTGGTCTCAATTGATAGAATGGAAGATGTACTACAGAAATAGACATGATTTTGATTGGTTTCACGACAAAAAGTACCTTGAAACTGAGCTCAAAATAGCAGAAATGTTCAATTCTTTGGCGATGTTCAAGAGTAAACAAATACCTGTCCGATTGGCACTGCCCCTCAACCTTCACATAATGGAAAGCTCTTCAACATCCTAGCAAAAGTGGGAGCAGACAACATGCAGCAGCAGTTGCAGACATGAAGCAGCAGTGGCAGACATCATGAGGTAGCAGTGGCAAAGTGCAGCATTAAGAGTGTAGTAATTAAGTGTAGCATTAAAAGTGCAGCACTTAAGTGTAGCATTAAGAGTGTGGCACTTACAAGTCATTCTGTCTGACGTTTTTGGGTTATCCTAGGTTTTCTACATATGTAGTCAGGAGCAGGAATGGCTGCTGTGATGGCCCTATAAACCCCAACAACAATGGTTGCTGTCACCACCACTAGCCACATAATTAATGACATGTATTTTATTAATTCTAGTGTATATATATCATGTTTATATGTTATTAATAATGACATGTATTTTATTCATTCTAGTGTATATATATCATGTTTCTATGTTATTAATATTGTTTATTATATCATATTACATGAATTGTGATAGATAAATAAGCCGTAGAGTTGATGTTAGAGAAATTATTGAAGTATTTTCTCGTGCCTGGAATTCCACTGGAATGAATTAATTCCATTTCAATTAATTTAAATGAGGAAATCTGACTCTGCAAATGAGCAAATCTAGATACAAGCAAGGTCATGGAACGGATTAAATTCGTAAATAGAGGTTCCACTGTATTACTTATTACCAAATCTCTTTCTATGCAAGTTATTTGTGAATTAATCTTATGCTAATTTTATGCAATATTTATATCTAAGGTGCCTTGATGATGATGTAAGGCTCTTGATCTATGGAACTGGACCTATCCTCACTTTCCTTGGATCAAACCTGACTGCCTCCCATTCCTCCAAGTACCATATGATTCCTACATGTTTACCACTTTCCTCTTTTCCTGGAATACAATATCCAGTAACAATAATGTATTTCATAGATACTGATACTGTACATTAACTTCTCTTTGATGAGATGGGGCATTGGAAACTAATTATATAAAAATATTTTTTTTAACTATATAATGGAAATCAGTCTTATAATTTGCATAAAATATGCATTTACAAATATTTAAATTTTTAAAATTAACAGACACCATTAAGTCTCTCACTGTTTTAAATAGAAATATTATGGTATTATGACAATATTCCTGGAAGATTAAAAATAATGACCATACAGCAATCACAAATGTAATAGAAATTTAAGCCTTCATAATAAATTTCAAATGCATAAATCCCACAAGTAATGGAATAAAATTTCAATGATTCTTCTTTGATTTCTTGCCAAGTTTTCTCCCATGTAGCTTTTTCTTCCCCTTCAATTTTTCTTTCTTTAATTTGGTTTTTACTGCACTTTTCTTGACATCTTTTCTTTCAAATTTATTCTTTCCTTCTTTATCCTTGGAAAATGTCAAATTTTCATCTTTTTTCTCATTTTTATCACTACTCTTGAACTTCTTTCTGAATGATCCATCACCTCCCAGTCTCCTCTTTTTTGTCCCTCCTGGTTTATTGAAGAGATCTGTAATACAAAAAGAAAGGGTGGATACACAAATTTTATACTCAACAGTGCATTTATTTTTTTTAACAAGTCAGCCGTCTCCCACTGAGGCAGGGTGACCCAAAAAAGAAACACTTTCACCATCATTCACACATAATCACTGTCTTTGCAGTGTTGCTGAGATACGACAGTTTAGACGTCACTCCAAACAGCCAATATCTCAAACCCCCTCTTTTAACCCTTTGACTGTTTCCAACGTATAAATACGTCTTACGAGCCAATGTTTCTGACGTATTTATACGCACAAATTCTAGTGGCTTCAAATCAAGCGGGAAAGGCCTGGTAAGCCTACATGAGAGAGAATGGGTCTCAATGGTCAGTGTGCACCCTGTGAAAAAAATCTGGGACCCAGCGGTGCATTGTGGGAACGCCATGTTGTTAGTCCATTTTCACCATGCCTCTCAGTAAGAAGTTCCTCACTCCTCGGCGGATTGGAGGTCTTTTGTTTCCAAGTGATAGCTCTAACAGCGATGAAAATGTCAGTGACAGTGAATTCCAGGGTTTTGAAGTGAGTGTTATGGAAAAAGTGCCCAGGATAACGTAATTAGTGATGAAAACCCAGATGACCCACAACCTTCCACCTCTGGTGCTGGGCCGGTTGTTCACGTTCACGTTCGCCTGTACCAGGACGAAAGAGGAAAATTTGGTCGTGTACAAACACCAAGTGTTAGCAGTGATAGTGATTTCAAGGTAAATTGAAAGCAGTTCTTAGTGGAAAGTGAGAGTGAATATTCCCCCAGTTGGAAGCGGCAGTATGTACGCGTTAGCATGCGGTCTGGTAGTGTTTCATATGTTGTTCCAAGGGGAAAGGAGAAACTCTGGAGCACACCCCGTGGCCCTACACCAGACCTGATAGTAAAGATGACGATATTGTAACGATGGGTAGAATGATGTGAGTGATGGAGCAGGCAGTTGGTGGTGGATAGGAGGGTGGCCGGCCCAATGGCCCCATTCAGCGGGCCACGCTCTACCCACGCTGCTGACTCTGCACACAACCCAGCCTCCCCCTACCCCACACTCCCAAAACCTGCACCACCCAAAAATGCACAACCCCACCTGCACACCACAGCACGGTACAATATCCAGAAACCCCCCCAGCAGACCGCATCTGGGATTTGGCGGACGGTGACGAGTTGTTCCCAGTCCCCCTGACTTTGATGAAACACAAAGTGGAATAAAACATTTTTGTCCACTTAGGAACAATGCCAGTGAACTGGACTGCTTTGAGTTATTCTTCGATGAACCCCTGATGGACATCATTGTCAGGGAAACAAACACATACTGTGATTACACCTGGCAAATACAATTCTCTCACCAAAATCCAGGCTTTCACAAGTGGAAGGAGAAACTGTGGCAGAGATGTACCTGTTTTTTGCCACAATAATGCTTATGCCACATGCGTATAGCACACTGTCACCACATACTGGGCAACAGAACGCTGATTTCAACTCCGGTTTTAGTGACATTATAGGGGTCAATGTTTCCTGATACTGTTACGTATGTTACATTTTTCAGACAAAAACCAGCCTGACAGAAGCGACAGGTTACATAAGATCAGAAATGTGTTTATGTACCTGAAACAAAAGGCTGCATGTATTTTTATCCCTTCAGGAGCTTGTTATTGATGAGTCCTTGATTTTATTCAAAGGAAGACTCTCATTCAAGCAATATATACCAAGCAAGAGGAAACGCTTTGGTATAAAGCTATTTGTACTGTGTGATTGCAGAAGTGGTTAGTTTTTGGATAATTGTGTACACTGCAGTAATACTTTGAGAGATCCATGAAGTTATTGGGTATCTCTGGTGATGTGGTTCGAACAATGATGGAACCATATCTTGGTAAGGGGCAATATGTTATTTACTGATAACTGGTAAAAAGCCCTTACTCAGTGATTTCTTGCGAGTGAACTTGACAGACGTGTGTGGCACAGTGCGTCGTAATCATAAACATATGCCAAGGTTCAACGCTGGCACTCGCAGAGGTGAGAAAGCAAGCCTTTGCTGCCAATGACATCATGGCATTTCGGTGGGATGACAAACTGATGTCACATTGTTGACATCAGTTCACAGAAACGAATGGTACCCAGTGGCAGGGACAACAGAGAGACCAATGAACCCATTCTAAAGCCTGCAGCTGTCATGGACTACACCTTAATATGCGCTTAGTGGACAAATGTGACATGCAGATTGGGTTTGCAGACTGTGTACGCAAGAGTTATAAGTGGTATATAAAACTTTTTTTCCATTTTTGTTGATATCTCTATGCTAAATGCTTATAACATATACAAGTTGAAGACCAACAAAACACCAAAATATGGTGAATTTTGCCCGTCAGTAATCAGACAAATAATTGCAAAGTACCAAGGAGCAACTCCTGCAATAGACCAGCGCCCACACACGTCATCTCGTTTCAGGCCTGGTGATCACTACCCCATACAACTGCCTCCTACTACTGCCAAGAAAAATGCTCAGAAGAGGTGTTATGTATGTATGCATACTACAAAACGCCCACGAACACGCAGAGACACTCGTTTTATGTGTGAGGAATGTGAAGTACCCCTCTGCATATACCCATGTTTCAAAGAGTTCCACAAGCTGCAGCAGTTCTAGGAACGTGTTTAGTGACTGTACATATGTATATTTTAATTATGGAACAAAAGTAATAAACATTGTTTTGTATTGTTTGTTTGTGTAAACAAAGTGTATACACAAACTAATAGTGATAAAGTTTGTTCTGTTATTGTGTTGTAAACAATGAGTGTATATTTGAAGAATGCACCTTACATTGGTCTCACAGGCCACATAAGTTACCTGGAACAGAAAAATATTGAAAAATGCAAGAAACCTTTGAATTAGAGTAAATAAAAGAATACCGGGTGGGCGGCAGTTGCCGCTGTTGCCGTACGCACGTCACTTTCTGCAAACTTTGCGGCTCTATATCTCGGTAAGTACTGATGGCAAAAATTTTTTTTTAGGCTTAAAACACTCACAAAAATATTCCTAACATTTTCATAAGAAAAAATATTTTTTTTTTCGAATATTTGGCAACAGAATGACAGTTTCAGAGAGGGGCCTGAAACAGTCAAAGGGTTAAAGTGCAGGCACTGTACTTCCCACCTCCAGGACTCAAGTCCAGCTAACCAGTTTCCCTGAATCCCTCCACAAAACATAACCCTGCTCATATTCCAACAAAAATGCTAAACATGTGCAAGTCATTCAGGTGAGAGTGCAACAGTATACATACCTATCTACTTAACATGCTTATACTGATTTGCTACTTTTACAAACTAGGAGAAATGTGGTAAGTACAGTAAGTAATTTTTATCCTAAATGGGATGCTTTCTGTTTGTACCTTGTATGTACACAGACACAAACAATTACCTCCCCATTTATTGTACATGTGTCCAGTTTAATAGTTAAGCTTATGAAACTGAATTTGTTTACATGCAATAAAAAAGATTTGTTAATTTTCTTCAATCAACACAAATCATATTCTTCAGTCTTTTCTAATTATGTATACGCTAGTCCTATTTACTAATGTAAAAATTATCATCGTAATTAAAGCAATACAGTAATTATTTTTTGTCACCCTACTTTGATGGAAAGCAGAAAAATGTCTCGAAAGAAAAAAAAATAGCAACTGCCTTTCATTGGTGGTCTTCAAATGGTTTGTTGATATTTATGAAAACTTAGAAGCCTAAGAATAATCAATATAAATGGTGAAGTTTTAGACAAGCTCTGGGCTAGCTTTTGTAAATGTAATATACTATTGTGCTGTATACAAAGTATAGTGGTACCAACACTGCTGTATGGGTGTGAAGCATGGGTTTTAAATGTTGCAGCAAGGAGGCTGGAGTCAGTAGAGATGTTATGTTTGATAGAAATGTGTAGTGTGAATATTATGCAGAGAATTTGGAGTTTGGAGATTATGAGGTGTGGAGTTACCATAAACATTATTCAAAGGACTAAGGAGGGGCTGCTGAGGTAGTTTGAACACTTAGAGAGGATGAATAAAAATAGGATGACTGGGAGGGGCATAAAATCTGGGGTGGGGGGGGGGGAAGGTTAGTAGGGGGGAAGGTTCAGTAGGAAAGGTTGGAAAGGGGGGAGGGTGTAAAGGAGGTTTTGAGTGTTAAGGACTTGAACATCCAACAGGCTTGTGTGAGTGTGCTAGACAGTTGTGGAGGCATGTGGTTTTTATGATTTGATGGGCTGTTGGAGTGTGAGTAAGGTAACATTCTTGAAGAGATTCAAGGAAAACCAATGTGCCAGACTTGGGATGTTGCAGTTTGGAGGGCCATCTGAACTGTGATGTCATGGCCTTTCTAGCAAGACAGTGACTGAATGAGTGAAAATGAGTGTTTTCTTTCTTGTCAGGTCACTATACCTCGATGAAAGATGGCCAGAGAGCTAAAAAAAATATACACAATGTATTTTATGTTGCAATAGATGTATTTTTGATCTCATTTATTTGACTGTCACATATACACCATTACAATAAGATAAATCTGTGATCCAAAGTTGTATGTAGAATATAACATAGTGAGAATGAGAGTAAGAGTAATTAAGGACTATACTGTATTTAGCAGTCTCATATTTATCAGACTCCCTCAGAGCTGTTCTTTCCTCTCACTCAAAAAGTCAAAATATTGTAAAATACCTATGACTGGCTTTGAAGGTTATTCTACGTTGCCTTGAGCTTGAAGCCAGACTTCCCTCTTGCCTGATCAACCAGCCTGTTGCTACCAGTGGCCTGCAGACCTATACAACTATCACAACCTGGTTACTAAAATAGCAAATTACCCTTACCTGCATCAGGCTCCTCACCAACTTCATCTCTGTAATACTGAGCATCGTCATCTTCAACATCTTCCCAACCATCAGTGTTTTGCTCTTCTATTTTTTCTTGGTTATCTTTCTCATTCTTGATGAATCCCATACCCTCAAGACACTTCTTCTTGTGTTCATCCTGTTTCTTCTTCTTAGCTTCAATATGCTGTTCCTGCTCCTTTTTTCTTTTCAATTTCAACTGCCTAGAAAAATATTATTTTTAATAAAAAAGAACATTCACAGATCCCACCAAAATATTAATAAATTTAAACGCAATTTTTTTTACTAAACAAAACTGGATTCATCAGCAGAGAGCTGCTGCACTACTCTATATAATCATTACATAGTGGGAATAAAAGCTAGTTATGTTTCCCTGTGCAGTGCTGTATGACCCATGTATTTTTTTTTTTTTTTTTAATATAATCTTAATGTTTCCCTGTCATATTCAATCACAGGGTGGGTTTCTAGAAAGGGATAACATTTGTCAGTTCAAGCTGAGAGATTTAGTAGGGCAATGATGATACTGTCAAGCTTTCCACTTATGGTTCAGTAGCTATGAAAGCTTTACCCATCAAGAGAGGATCCTTGATGCTGGTGAGTGGCTCTTGATCCACAGAGTTGGACTTGCCCTCTTTCAGTTGGATAGAATCCAAATGCCTCCCATTCCCCAGGTACTATATGACCCCTATGGGTTTAGTGCTTTCCTCTAAATATATAACACATGATATCTTCGAAGGTTTTATTCCATTGCGGGGGAAAGGGAAAACAAAGAGGGGTGAGAGAGATGGAGAGGGGGGAAAGAAAGGGAGGGTTGAAAGGGAGCATAAAAAAAAAAGTAGATAGGTTGAAAAAATTGTCCCTACTATCATAACTATGTACATGTAGCCCCAATCAAAAAATTTTTCCAATTTTCCAATGTTTATTTTTATGGCTTTGGGGATTTAGGAACCAAAAAATTGTTTTCAAACATAACTCTCCATCTGATATGCACAGGTACAGTGTAACTCAAACGCTCACTTATATTGTAACAGGGACCCTGGGTTAGGGCTGTAATCTGTTCCAGAAGGCCCGGGCCTAAAGCCAAAGGGCCCGAAAACAGAAATAATTATTCCAAAAGAATTAATAAAACAATTAATCCGACCCAGACCCCAAAAATTTCCCAAAAAAAAAAAAAAAATTAAGAGTTTAATTATAGTTTTACATAAAAAACAATGAAACTAAAAAAAAATAAATACATGAAAAATTAAAATCAGTATTACATACCTTTACTGAAGACGTTTTGGCTTATGGAAGAGGGGGAAAAGGAGAGGGGAGAAGTTTTTTTGGGAAAGGGGGGAATTCCCTCCAAAGGACTTCAGGTATCAAACCCCCTTTCTGGGGTTACTTGCCTTTGTTTTTTATGCCCTGGACTAGTTTGAGAGTCACGGGGCCCCTTTTTCGACAAATACATGGATACAAAATTTAATCCGTTCCGAGAGCTCACGTAAGCCGAAATTATCATTACCCGAATAAACTTTTCCAAAAAATAATGGAAATCAAATTTCCGTTCCTGACACCCCAAAATATAAAAAAATTTTTTTTTTCCAAAATGAAATATTAATTTTAAACCACAAATGAAAAAGCATCCAATTACTACTTACTAAGAAAGAATACATACACTTCCTTTATTTAAGATTGGTGAGATTGATTTATGAAGGGGGGAGAGTGTGGAAGTTATTGTTTAAAGGGGAAACCCCTTCCATTAGGACTTTAAGTGCAAGTCCTTTTTCCCGGGTTTTCTTCCCCCTTTCTTTTAATGCCACTAGGATCAGCTTGAAGTCAGGACCCTGTCCCCACAACAAATTGTCCATGACTCTGACCTCCCCTTTCCTTTTAAAATTTTTTTAAAAGGGCCATAAATTTTCTTGTAAGGTTGCCAACACGGCTTGCAGACGTGTCTGGGTATTTTCATCCCTAAAGGTTTGCAGTTCAAAACCCCCTTTTCACACATTTTCCTTTAAACTCTTTTTTCAATTCCCCACTAATTCTCACCCTTTTTTTCCCCAGGATGACACTAGAAGCTTTTTTGGGTCCATGTGACTTTTTTGAAATTACAAGGCTAAAAAAAAATGGGGAAAGTGAAATGTATAATGTAGCGTAGAGCGACCCCATGGCTGGCTTGTAAACACTGGGGTGAGGGCCCCACTGGGACGCTCCCGGACGATTCACTAAGGGGAGTTTTTTATCATGAGGCAAAACAAAAATTTTTTCGTTCAAATGCTTTGTAGGCAATTTTAAAGTAGTGTGATCGTTCGTAAGGGGGGGGCCAAATAACGCCCAAAGAGCTCTGTTACTGGCGTTTCTAAGATTTCCCCCAATGGGAAAAAGGTTTCTGTCCTGAACCTGGCATGAGCTTGTTTGAGTTTGTCAGGGGTGAAATTTCTCAGCAAAAGCTTGCACCCCATCCCCATTGCAAAAAACTCCTTAATCCTAAAAAAACCCTCCTTTCCCCCCCTTCTTCCTCCCCCTTTGAAGTAAGTTCCGACTTGGGGTTCGTTCCCGATGAAGCTTTGCACTCTTCGTCGTTAGCTCTTCCCTGTGGTCCTCCACCAACTCTTCCACATCCTCACAACTAACCTCCAACCCCATGGACTTGCCCAGAGATATAATGGATTCCACAATAGGCATAGGGTCCTCAGAGTCAGCCCCAAACCCTTCAGAATCTCTCTCTTGGACACATTTTGGCCACAATTTTCTCCAAGCAGAGTTCAAAGTCCTGGAAGTTACTTCCTCCCAAGCCTTACCTATAAGGCCTATGCAATGGAGGATATTAAGTGATGCCTCCAGAACACTCTTAGGGTCAAATCTGTGTCTGAGGTCACTTCAAAGCACCTTTGAAACACTGCTTTGGTGTACAGTTTTTTGAAGTTAGAAATGACCTACTGGTCCATGGGCTGGATGAAAGGAGTGGTGTTAGGAGGCAAGAACTTCACTGTGATAAAACAAAATTCCAGAGACAATAGGTCTATCAAGTTTGGAAGATGAGCAGGAGCATTGTCCAGTACCAGGAGGCAGTTGAATGGCAATTTATGTTCCAGAAGGTATTTTTTCACACTCAGGCCAAACATATCATACACCTACTCTTTGAAATTTGCTTTGTGACCCATGCATTATCGTTAGCCCTCCACATCACACACAATTTACTCTTGAAAACATTGTGTTTCTTGAACACTCTGGGATTTTCAGAGTGATACACCAGTAAAGGCTTCACTTTGAAATCCCCAGTACATGTAGTGTTAGCACAGAACAAAAGAGTAAGCCTGTCTTTCATAGGCGTGTGTCCAGGCAGGGCCTTTTCCTCCTGCATAATGTAAGTCCTCCTTGGGATTTTCTTCCAAAACAACCCTGTTTCATCACAACTGAACACCTGTTGGGGGAGGAATCCTTTAGCCTCTATGTAACCCTTGAAATCTTGCACAAATTTTTCAGCCACACATTTATCAGAACTTGCAGCCTCTCCATGCTTTACCACACTGTGCATGCCACTATGCTTCTTAAATCTCTCAAACCACCTTTGCTGGCCCTAAATTCACTAACAGCAGCACTTGTTCCAGGCATTTTATTTACAAGATCCGCATACACCTGCTTTGCCTTCTCACAAATCACTGACTCCACAACACTATCTCCCACTAATTCTTTTTCCCTGATCCACAACAATAATAACTTTTCTATTTTTCTTTTTCAACAAGTCGGCCATCTTCCACCTAGGCAGGGTGACCCAAAAAGAAAGAAAATCCCCAAAACAAAAATACGTACTTTCATCATCATTCAACACTTTCACCTCACTCATACATAATTACTGTTTTTGCAAAGGCGCCCAGATACAACAGTTTAGAAGCATATATAAAGATACAATACAAAAAGTGACCTGAAATAATTACAATATTAGGGCCCCAATTACATATATACCTTCCTATTAAACACCCCTCCAAACTGCCAATATCCCAAACCCCTCCTTTAAAGTGCAGGCATTGTACTTCCCATTTCCAGAACTCAAGTCTGGCTATATAAAAATAACCAGTTTCCCTGAATTCCTTCACTAAATATTACCCTGCTCACACTCAAACAGCTCGTCAAGTCCCAAAAACAATTCGTCTCCATTCACTTCTATATAACACGCTCATGCACACTTGCTGGAAGTCCAAGCCCCTCACCCACAAAACCTCCTTTACCCCCTCCCTCCAACCTTTTCGAGGATGACCCCTACCCCGCCTTCCTTACCCTACAGATTTATACACTCTCCATGTCATTCTACTTTGATCCATTCTAAATGACCAAACCACCTCAACAACCCCTCTTCAGCCCTCTTACTAATACTTTCATTAACTCCACTCCTTCTCCTAATTTCCACACTTCGAATTCTCTGCATAATATTTACACCACACACTGCCCTTGGACAGGACATCTCCACTGCCTCCAACCACCTCGTCACTGCAGCATTTACAACCCAAGCTTCACACCCATATAAGAGTGTTGGTACCACTTTCATACATTCCCTTCTTTGACTCAATTGATAACGTTTTTTGTCTCCACATATACCTCAACGAACCACTCACCTTTTTTCCCTCATCAATTCTATGGTTAACCTCATCCTTCGTAAATCCATCCGCTGACACATCAACTCCCAAATATCTGAAAACATTTACTTCTTCCATACTCCTTCTCTCCAACGTGATATCCAATTTTTCTTTATCTAAATCATTTGATACCCTCATCACCTTACTCTTATCTATATTCACGTTCAACTTTCTACCTTTACACACCCTCCCAAACTCATCCACTAACCTTTGCAACTTTTCCATATCTTCCATTATTGGTGACCTTTGAGCAGAAGCTTCCTCACTCTGCCAGGGACACAGCTACACTGATTCAGGAATGTGAGTGTGTCGCCGGTCGATAAGCATCCAATACGGCTGATAAGCAAAATAATGGCTGATAACCGGAAGCCGAAACATGGCCGATAAGCGAGTTGACTGATAAGCGGAATGGCTGATAACCGAGGGTTCACTGTACTACTTTCTTATCTATCCTTACCTCACCTATGGCGTTTGTGTCCTGGGGATCTATCATGTCATATCACCTAAAAGCAATAATAATAAAACAAAAAGCTGCAGTGCCCCCACTCTTCAAAAGCCTATACATGTACTTACTTATATACAATATGCACTCATACTACTGCACCTACTTTATATATATAGGACAATCAATTCCAATATAAACATTTCTCTGAAACTTCCTTGATAGGTCCAATCAAACACACAGGCATAATACGAGATACAAGAACCTCTTTTGACATCCTCTACATCCAACTTGTGTAAAATCCCAATACACATAAATAGCCACAAGATCTGCAACTCCCTGCTTAAATCATTGTAAGGTCCCCTATCTCCCAATCGATTCAGAGCTATTGTTAAAAAGCACTTAATCTCCTTAATGAAATATAGACAGCAATATGCTATGTCAAACAAAACCAGCTTTCATCCAATTTTGTCCCTGTTCTCTTCCTGCCTTCCTTAACCCTTAAACTGTCCAAACGCAGATCTACGTTCACTCGCGTGGCGCTCAGAATATTTTGAAAAGTAAAAAAATTTTTTTTTCTTTTAAAATGAAGAGCACATTTTTCTACATGTTATAGGATTAAAAAAAAAATTTAGGGTCAGTACTTACCGAGATATAAGACCATGAAGTTGGCTCTGGATGCTCACCTGATGGCAACATCGACTCCTGCCGCTTGCAGAAGTGTTGCCGATATACCTTTTCTCTCGTTTTTATTTTAATTTATATATTTTTTATGTTCTGATAATTACAATTTATAATAGTTCTTGCAATTTCATAGCCAATCTTTGTTCTGACACTAATATTAGGTACTGAAATAGTGCTCAAATAGTCACAATCACATTGACAGGTGAACATTTACACCTGCTTGGGTTATTTATTATTGTCTAGAAATATATACAAAGTATTTATAGGTCCCAGCAATGTTTTAGATACCCTGGCATATACCTTGAAGAATGTTGTTATGAAAGGCATCCCTATACTGTTGACAGCCTAGTGACATTTGATAAATGCTCATTGCTCTAGCTAACCCCCTCTGTATTTATCACTGTTACACACAAACATGTCTTGTCTCTCTGTCTATTTATCTGTCTGTCTGTCTGTCTGTCTATCTGTCTGTCTGTCTATCTGTCTGTCTGTGTCTGTCTATCTGTCTGTATAATAACTGTACTTGTGTGTGCATGTGAGAGACAGACAGAGAGACAGAGATATAGACAGATACAGAGATACAGACAGACAGCCAAAGCCAGCCGACTAGCCAGCCAAATACACAAGAAAGAAGAAATACTGCAGCAGGCCTACTGGCCCATGCAAGGCAGGTCCATATCCCCCCCCAGCTTAGACCAATGACCCATCTAGTCAGGTCACATCCACTGAAGGAAGGAGCACGACATCAGACCTAGTAGCACAAGCTAGTCAAGTCCAACTCACACCCACCCACACTCACTTGTATATTTATCTAACCTATTTTTACTTTCCTCTTGAAATGGCAGTGTTAATGCAACATGGCATCAGTGAATCCCTGGTGTTTGCCATGCTATTTGCTCCAGCTGGCGCTCAGTTGAACTGGTGCTCCCACAAGGTACTAAGTGCTCCCAGATTTTTTAATAGCACACACACTGAGTGCACAAACCCATTCTTTCATCTCTAGGCAACTCAAGCCTATTGTGCCAAATCTGAAGGAATGAAAAATAAAACGTTGATCTATGTTCGAAGCGCTATGCGTGCAAACGTAGATCTACGTTTGGACAGTTTAAGGGTTAAATTCCTGAACATAATTTATAACACACGTTGTCCCATTTTATTTGTATTGTAGCCTAAGTAACTTGCTGTATCTTCATTATCTCTATTCCATCACTTCACAAAACTGAAGACCAGTGAATCATTTAAATATTTAATTCTTTTGTAATTTATCTTTTGTCATTAACAACTTTTCTTGTACTTATGATCACAGTTAACTGCACATGCTGTCCTACTGAACAGTCTATGTCTAGTTCTTAACCTTTTTAGGGGTTGGTCCTGTTGTTCTGCACCAAAAAACTCGGTTCACTCAGGTAAGTTGTGAGCTATAAATCTGGGCCTAGATATGAAAAATAGGTCTATGCAGTAAGTTTGCATCATATAAAAAAAATCCTGCAGCAAGCAATGCACAATGGAAAAAAAACCTGCAACCATGTTTTTGGTTTAACACATCGATTTTGTGGTGTATTTTCATATGGTTTTTGTTTTGTAGTCTCAGTTCCCTGGTTTCATATGATAGAATGGAAGATATATTACAGAAACAGAGATTATTTTGATCGGTTTCAGGACTGAAAGTTGCTTTAAATTAAACTCAAAGTAGCAGAAATGTTTGATTTTTGCCAATACTGGTCCACATTCCTTTATCCGAAATTCTGAAATTCGAAAAGTTCCGAAAACCAAAGTTTTTTCGTGGAGTGTGGAGCATCAGTTACTGACAGCCAGAGTGGCAGGTGTCAGTTGTGTCTCAGTGCTGGTAGTGTGCACACGTGCGTCTGCTGTTCGCTGATATTTTGTTTTTGCTTTTTATTGCGTGACTGTTTAATTTCTCCATGAAAATGTCAAAAAGAGCTGCAGATACCCTTATGGGTAACAGTGAGAAAAAGAAAAGGAAGCATCTGATGTTATCAATAATGCAGAAAGTAGTTACTGCAGAAGCTTGATCGAGGTGTAGATGATATGGTGAAAATGTGCGATCAGTTAAGTCTTTAAAAATGCACTCTGTCATAGCACTGCTTCATCACTTGAGAATCAAGTTCTTGGTCTATAATTATTCCATTATTTCATTTATCAATATATTACTCTATAAATAAACTGTAGTAGTATTTGTAGTCTTTATTTATCCCACTTAGTGTGAGTATTCATACGTTTTTGCTGCAGTGTTAATGTCTGATTATGGGGTGCTGCCCTAGACCCCTGCTTCATTCTGAAATTCAAAAAATTCTGAAATTCGAAACACGACTGGCCCCAAGGGTTTCGGATAAAGGAATGTGTACCTGTATGCCAAAGTACATGCACAAATTACGTCACTCACTAAATACCCATTCAAAATTTGCGAACGCATAATTTCGCCAATTTTCCATCAAGTTATGTACTTTCTTTTTGTTTTATTACCTTCAGAAAAGCTTCTCTACCATTTCACAAGAAAAGATAAAACTTTTTCCTGAGAATTCTTGGATACTGTGGACAAGTTTCATATCGGGGGTTTGGACAATGAAAGTGTTAAAGAAATAAACATCATTATCATTAAAGTAGGTAAATGCCTAAAACATGGGAATGTGTAATCATAGTGTAATTCAGAGTTACTAGCCTTTGTGTATGCCACTCACCACTATACACCTTGAAGCAAATTTACCTCAGTTTTCTTAAAAGTCAGTTTCACATTTAATTTCAGAGACAAAATGATTAAAGATAGATATCGCATCTGTTGGTTTTGATATCAAGAAGTGATGCTATGCTTCCTGCCATGCATCAAGGCACTTTTTTCACCCATGACTTGCAGGATTTTACACAAAATTTATGTAATAAATTATCAAAAATATAAATTATGAGTGTACTGTGTTTCCCTTCTATCTGAGGAAATATGAAAAGCTCATAAAAATATAACAAATGTGAGTCTTTTAAAAATACTGTGAATAGCATTTGTTAATGTAAATTAATTAACAAGAAAAAATTTAAACTTACTTCTTCAATCGTATTTTCTTTTCAAGTTGTAATTTTTCTTCATCAGTTTTTTTAACATTGCAGTTGTACAGAACTTTGCCTTCTAAAAGTCCTTCTTCTATTTTCAAAAGCTGCCAAAAGTAACAGGAAAGGAATGAATATTTATTTCCCATATGGTGGTCTATTTCACAATGAGAATCACAAATGATTACCAACATTTAAAAGCATTCATTTCAACTGAGACAAGTAGAATAGCACCAACCTTCAGGGTCATTCTTGGGCCAAGTTCGGACAACCTAACTGAAGATTGCTGTTGCTTTAATTTTTTCCATGGTACCTTGACATCAACTGTAACTTGTGATGAAGGGTTATCTTCAGCTTCACTCTCGGAAAGTACTCCAGCGCTAGAAAAAAAAATATCAATCTAAAGTACCAATTTAATATGCGTGCTCATTATTTTGAATATTCAAAATGCTCACCCAAGATTTTGTTCATGGAAATAAAAAGGCAAGACACTACACGTGAGATTTCATTTCCAAACATGCAAGTACTATAGCTATCACCTGGGTTTACCTCTATACTTTATATCGCCCTTGTTAATAATATTTTTTTTATTATTATTATCACACTGGCCGATTCCCACCAAGGCAGGGTGGCCCGAAAAAGAAAAACTTTCACCATCATTCACTCCATCACTGTCTTGCCAGAAGGGTGCTTTACACTACAGTTTTTAAACTGCAACATTAACACCCCTCCTTCAGAGTGCAGGCACTGTACTTCCCATCTCCAGGACTCAAGTCCGGCCTGCCGGTTTCCCTGAACCCCTTCATAAATGTTACTTTGCTCACACTCCAACAGCACGTCAAGTATTAAAAACCATTCGTCTCCATTCACTCCTATCAAACACGCTCACGCACGCCTGCTGGAAGTCCAAGCCCCTCGCACACAAAACCTCCTTTACCCCCTCCCTCCAACCTTTCCTAGGCCGACCCCTACCCCGCCTTCCTTCCACTACAGACTGATACACTCTTGAAGTCAATCTGTTTCGCTCCATTCTCTCTACATGTCCGAACCACCTCAACAACCCTTCCTTAGCCCTCTGGACAACAGTTTTGGTAATCCCGCACCTCCTCCTAACTTCCAAACTACGAATTCTCTGCATTATATTCACACCACACATTGCCCTCAGACATGACATCTCCACTGCCTCCAGCCTTCTCCTCGCTGCAACATTCATCACCCATGCTTCACACCCATATAAGAGTGTTGGTAAAACTATACTCTCATACATTCCCCTCTTTGCCTCCAAGGACAAAGTTCTTTGTCTCCACAGACTCCTAAGTGCACCACTCACCCTTTTCCCCTCATCAATTCTATGATTCACCTCATCCTTCATAGACCCATCTGCTGACACATCCACTCCCAAATATCTGAATACATTCACCTCCTCCATACTCTCTCCCTCCAATCTGATATCCAATCTTTCATCACCTAATATTTTTGTTATCCTCATATCCTTTTTGTTATCCTCATATCCTTTCCTGTATTCACCTTTAATTTTCTTCTTTTGCACACCCTACCAAATTCATCCACCAATCTCTGCAACTTCTCTTCAGAATCTCCCAAGAGCACAGTGTCATCAGCAAAGAGCAACTGTGACAACTCCCACTTTATGTGTGATTCCTTATCTTTTAACTCCACGCCTCTTATCAAGACCCTCGCATTTACTTCTCTTACAACCCCATCTATAAATATATTAAACAACCACGGTGACATCACACATCCCTGTCTAAGGCCTACTTTTACTGGGAAATAATTTCCCTCTTTCCTATGTACTCTAACTTGAGCCTCACTATCCTCGTAAAAACTCTTCAATGCTTTCAGTAACCTACCTCCTACACCATACACCTGCAACATCTGCCACATTGCCACCCCTATCCACCCTGTCATACGCCTTTTCCAAATCCATAAATGCCACAAAGACCTCTTTAGCCTTATCTAAATACTGTTCACTTATATGTTTCACTGTAAACACCTGGTCCACACACCCCCTACCTTTCCTAAAGCCTCCTTGTTCATCTGCTATCCTATTCTCAGTCTTACTTTTAATTCTTTCAATAATAACTCTACCATACACTTTACCAGGTATACTCAACAGACTTATCCCCCTATAATTTTTGCACTCTCTTTTGTCCCCTTTGCCTTTATACAAAGGAACTATGCATGCTCTCTGCCAATCCCTAGGTACCTTACCCTCTTCCATACATTTATTAAATAATTGCACCAACCACTCCAAAACTATATCCCCACCTGCTTTTAACATTTCTATCTTTATCCCATCAATCCCGGCTGCCTTACCCCCTTTCATTTTACCTACTGCCTCACGAACTTCCCCCACACTCACAACTGGCTCTTCCTCACTCCTACAAGATGTTATTCCTCCCTGCCCTATACACGAAATCACAGCTTCCCTATCTTCATCAACATTTAACAATTCCTCAAAATATTCCCTCCATCTTCCCAATACCTCTAACTCTCCATTTAATAACTCTCCTCTCCTATTTTTAACTGACAAATCCATTTGTTCTCTAGGCTTCCTTAACTTGCTAATCTCACTCCAAAACTTTTTCTTATTTTCAACAAAATTTGTTGATAACATCTCACCCACTCTCTCATTTGCTCTCTTTTTACATTGCTTCACCACTCTCTTAACCTCTCTCTTTTTCTCCATATACTCTTCCCTCCTTGCATCACTTCTACTTTGTAAAAACTTCTCATATGCTAACTTTTTCTCCCTTACTACTCTCATTACATCATCATTCCACCAATCGCTCCTCTTCCCTCCCGCACCCACTTTCCTGTAACCACAAACTTCTGCTGAACACTCTAACACTACATTTTTAAACCTACCCCAAACCTCTTCGACCCCATTGCCTATGCTCTCATTAGCCCATCTATCCTCCAATAGCTGTTTATATCTTTCCCTAACTGCCTCCTCTTTTAGTTTATAAACCTTCACCTCTCTCTTCCCTGATGCTTCTATTCTCCTTGTATCCCATCTACCTTTTACTCTCAGTGTAAAAATGTAAAAATATCATTCAAATATCCACCCGACTATTTTGGATACCCAGCTGATCACTGTGGTGTGCATGTAACATTTTAATGAAATCTTCTGAACAAATGTAATTATTAGTAGTATGTAGTCCCCAAAAATTTTCATAAGTTTATTGTTCGGAACACACAACCTAATTTCCCACCAACACTCATGTTATAATCGGATGTGCATTCCTATGCCATAATATTTCATATTTCTTTATTTTATAAATAAGATTTTTATCTGATATTTTACATTCAGTACTGTTCCTTTTCACCTACAAACAGTATTAAATGCTATTCAATTAATGCATACGATTAATTAAACAGAACAAAGCTAAAATACAGTATACAATACAGTACTGATGTGTATGGGCAGGCAGCAGCTGGATTCCCTACCTTTTTCATTCTCACTCTCCTATTAACTTCCACCTGCTATCATACAGTATCCAACATAATACAGTGGAACCTCCACTTAAGAGCACATCCACGTGTGAGTTTTTCCAGATACGAGCAGTTGCTCAGTCGATTTTTTGCTTCCATATGCAAGTGAAATTTCCAGATGTGAGTGGGCCTCAAGGGAGGTTCCTTGACGCTGGTGAGGGGCTCTTGCTCTTGATCTAAGGAATTGAATCTCAGTTGTTTGTTGGACTATCTTAATGAAACTTGGGCAATGTACGATGGAAAGATGCTTCTTAAAGTACACCAAAAATGAAAGAAATCGGACCATAAATAACAGAGTTCACTTCTCAGCCATTAGCCTTCCCTTAGCGGTATATTTTTGTATGTTTTTATGGATGCATTCTAGTTTTTTTGGTCAATTGATAGAATGGAAAATATACTACAGAAATAGATATGATTTTGATTGATTTCAAGATGAAAAGTACCTTGAAATTGAGCTCAAAGTAGCAGAAATATTCAATTCTTTGGCGATGTTCAAGAGTAAATAAATGACATCATCCAATACCCGTCCGATTGGCACTGCCAACACGCTAGCAAAAGTGGGAGCTGACATCGTGAGGTAGCAGTGGCAGACAACGTGAAGCAGCAGTGGCAGACAACATGAAACAACAGTTGCAGACAACATGAATCAGCAGTGGCAGACATCATGAAGCATCAGTGTCAGACAATATGAAGCAGCAGTAGCAGACATGAAGCAGCAATGGCAGACATCATGAAGCAGCAGTGGCAGACATCATGAGGTAGCAGTGGCAGACAACATGAAGCAGCAGTGGCAGACAACATGAAGCAGCAGTGGCAGACAACATGAAGCAGCAGTGGCAGACAACATGAAGCAGCAGTGGCAGACATCATGAGGTAACAATGGCAGACAACATGAAGCAGCAGTGGCAGACAACATGAAGCAGCAGTGGCAGACATCATGAGGTAACAGTGGTAGACAACATGAAACAGCAGTGGCAGACATGAAGCAGCAATGGCAGACATGAAGCAGCAGTGGCAGACATGAAGCAGCAGTGGTAGACATAATGAGGTAGCAGTGGCAGACAGCATTAAGAGTGTAGCAATTAAGTGTAGCATTAAGAATGTAGCACTTATAAGTCACTCTGTCTGAATTTTTTGGGTTATCTTAGGTTCTCTACATATGTAGTCAGGAGCAGGAATGGCTGCTGTGGTGGCCCTATAAACCCCAACAACAACAATAGCCACTGTCACCACCACTAGCCACATACTTAATGACATGTATTTTATTCATTCTAGTGTGTATATCATGTTTCTATGTTATTAATATTGTTTATTATATCATATTAAATTAATTGTGATATATAAATAAGCCGTAGAGTTGATATTAGGGAATTTATTGAAGTATTTTGTAGTGCCTGGAATTCCACTGGAACGGATTAATTGCATTTCAATTAATTTAAATGAAGAAAAATGACTCTGCAACCAAGCACATCCAGATGCGAGCAAGGTCACGGAATGGATTAAACTCGTGAGTGGAGGTTCCACTGTACTATTTATATATGCCCAGTACCACCACCTGTACTGCAACTGAGTACATGGTGTAAAAAGAATGGGGTGACAGATGTGTAGAGGCAAGCAATAGATGGATTATCTTCCTCTCCTATTCACTACAACCCTCTCTTGAATCATATCAACTCAAGACTTTATATATGTTCACCACTCCCTCAGTGTTATGGTGAGGGTATTGTTGTGTCTGGGTATTTATATTGGGAAGGTAGTAGAGAGGCTAACTGTTTGAGGGAATGTGTGGCATGAGTTAGTGGAGCTTCCATTAACATGTAGCAGCTGGGTAGCAGCCCAACCCACAATGTAATAATTTGACATGCAGTTCTTAACCAATTTAAAAAAAAAAAAAAAACTTGAACTTTCTGTACATGTGTGAAATGAAAACACACACACACACACACACACACTAAATACTGTACTAAAGCAATTGGTAAAGCCTAACCAAAAAAATTACAGGATTTATAATTCAACCTTAAATTCTTGATCTTTCTTTGCCAAATAAATGTGTGCTCTCTATAAATAGATTAAATTAACATAAACAGAGTATGAATGCATTTGAAAAAAAAAAATATTTCAAATAATTTGTCTGGATATTTGCAATAATCGTGTCACAACTGTAAATATGGACATCCTTAAGGTGAATGATCCTAAGTTGGGTCCTATTGTACACAAATGTTCATAAATAAAAATAATTGTAAATCTCTGGGTGACTTAATTACCTAATACAGTTCACTGTATGTATATAATGTCATGTTTGCATTTGTAAAAACATAAGTACTCTGTCTACATACATCTACGCAAGTACAAACTGGAGCAAGTGTACTGCAAATACTTAAATACTATTATGCTCACTATATGGTTATGTTTTATTTGCTTATATTTGTAATTTATGAAGACAAAAATAATGTTTGAGGAAAAATTCACTTGCAATAATTTCCAAGTATGACTACTAAGCAAATTTTAAAACAGAAACAATGATAACAAAATATATTGACTTACTTATTCATAAACTCTGATATGTCACTGAAGTTACTCAAATCAGGCAATTTTTTCTTAGTGAGTTTTTTTACAGCCTTTGAAATACCAACTGGCACCACCCGAATAGAATAGTGGCGGAAGTCAAAGATTTCTTCTTCAAAGTCATAATTTATCAAGCAACATCTCTGAATGGACTCTACTTTAATCTGAAATGAAGAATAATTTAAATAAGAAAAAAAAATACATTAACTCATCATACAAATACAATCTTCCAGGACTGTATATAACACTTTTTTGAGTGAAGTACAGTGGACCCTCGACTAACGCTATTAATCCGTTCCTGAGAGCTCATCGTTAGTCAAAATAATCGTTAGTCAAGTTAATTTTCCCCATAAGAAATAATGGAAATCAAATTAATCCGTGCAAGACACCCAAAAGTATTGAAAAAAAAAAAATTTAACACATGAAATATTAATTTTAATACACACAAACTGAAGAAGACATGCACAGTTACATGACACTTACCTTTATTGAAGATCTGGTGATGACTGATGGGATGGGAAGAGGGGAGTGTGTTGATGGTCTTAGTGTTTAGAAGGGGAATCCTCTTCCATTAGGACTTGAGGTGGCAAGTCCTTTTTCGGGGTTACTTCCCTTCTTTTAATGCCACTAGGACCAGCTTGAGTCACTGGACCTCTGTCGCACAACATATCTGCCCATAGAGGCCTGTACCTCCCGTTCCTTTATGACATTCCTAACGTGTTTCACAACATTGTCAGTGTCACCATTAAACACTTGTTCAGGTTTCAGTCCTTCACTGTCTATGTACTCCTTGAATTCCTGCACATATTTTTCAGCTGCTTTTTGGTCCAAACTGGCAGCCTCACCATGCCTTATCACACTATGTATGCCACTACGATTCTTAAATCTCTCAAACCAACCTTTGCTGGCCTTAAATTCACTCACATCACCACTAGTGCTGGCATTTTTCTAATTAAATCGTCATGCAACTTCCTAGCCTTTTCACATATGATCGCTTGAGAGATGCTATCTCCTGCTATCTGTTTTTCGTTTATCCATACCAATAACAGTCTCTCAACATCTTCTATCACTTGCGATCTCAGTTTCGAAAACATAGTTGCACCTTTGGCAAGAACAGCTTCCTTGATTGCCGTTTTCTTGGCCACAATAATAGCGATGGTTGATTGGGGTTTTGTGTACAGCCTGGCCAGCTCGGAGACATGCACTCCACTTTCATACTTAGCAATGATCTCTTTCTTCATATCTATAGTAATTCTCACCCTTTCTGCTGTAGGGTTAGCACTAGAAGCTTTCTTGGGGCCCATGGTGACTTATTTTGCAGGTGCAATCACTAAAAAGGCTGTGATAATATGAAATGTTCCGATTGTATGCTTGGAAGCGACCGTGGTGGCTGGCTGGCTTGTAAACACTGGCCAGAAGTGGACGTGTCTCAGACGGAAGGAATAGTGTTGGTCGAGTTTTTTAGCGCTAATCGAGGCAAAATTTTTGCGATAAAATGTATCGCTAGTCAGATTTATCGTTATCAATGCCATCGCTGGTCGAGGGTCCACTTGTACAAGACAGGATGACAGAGACTGTGCAAAGGCATTGAAATAAAGATTCATGATCAATAAACAATAATATTTTTAACTCCAGGGGTAAATGAAAATGGGGAGCCATTAATTGAACTATGTGTAGAAAGAGGTTTGATAATAAGTAATACATATTTTATGAAAAAGAGGATAAATAAGTATACAAGATATGATATAGCATGTATGAAAGTAGTTTGTTAGATTATGTATTGGTGGATAGAAGGTTGATGGGTAGGCTTCAGGATGTACATATTTATACAGGAGCAATGGATATATCGGATCATTATCTAGTTGTTGCTACAGTTATTATTAAATTAAGAGGTTGATGGGACAAAAGGAAAATGGCAACAGTAAGTAAGAGAGGTGAAAGTTTATAAACTAAGGGGGCAGGAGGAAGTTAGGGTGAGATGTAAGCAACTATTGGCAGAAAGGTGGGCTAGTGCAAGTAGTAACTGCATGACTATCATTACCATCATCATCATCATCATCACAAGTCATCCGAGTTCGTCTGTCTAACCTTACGAGTGGTGTTCTGTTTGTTCATTATTTGTTATTAAACCATAACATGTATATACAATACATGTATGTATTTTACAATGTTTTCATGTGTTTTATGATTGTTCAAGGTTCAATAGGTTAAGGAAGCAGTATTGTTAGGCTAAGTAAATGCTATTATTATACAGTGGACCCCCGGTTATCAGCCGGTTGTGTTATCAGCCGACTTGGTTATCGGCCGGTTTTTTGGCACCCGGTTGTTGCGCCATTAATTCGGTGATCGGCTGTTTGGGACGCGTCCATCCATCAGCTGGGGCCGCTTGCACGTCAGTTTGGCTTTGTCTCTCAGTGGCTGAGGAAGCTTCTGCTCATACATCCAAACAATTTGCTTGTTTTCCATTGTTTTTAGTGTTTTTTTTTTTTTTTGCAATGCAATTGTGAAATATGCAACCATGGATCCAAAGAAAGTTCCTGTGGTAAAGAAAGTGAGAAACACCATGGAATTTAAGTGTGAAGTGATAGAAAAGGTTGAGAGTGGTATGAAGGTGGTGGAACTTGCCAGGATGTACAGCAAGAATAAATCAACAATTACATCCATCCTGGCAAAGAAAGAACAAATAAAAGACACCAATGTTGCAAAAGGAGTAACTTTTCTAACTAAACAAAGAATGCTGATAATGGAAGAGATGGAAAAGTTATTATTATTGAGGATTAAGGTAAAAGAATTAGTGGGAAACAGTGTTGTGGAGTCTATTATTTGTGAGAAGGCAAGGCAGTTGCATGAGGATCTTGCAGAGAAAATGCCTAGAACAAGAGCTGCAGTTTGTGAATTTTTGTCCAGCAAAGGATGGTTTGACAGATTTAAGAAGCGTAGTGGCATACAGTGTTATAAGGCATGGTGAGACAGCAAGTTCTGACAAATGTGTGGCTGAAAAATTCGTGCAGGAATTCCAGGGGTACATAGAGGCTGAAGGATTCAAACCCCAACAAGTGTTCAATTGTGACAAAACAGGCCTGTTTTGGAAGAAAATGCCAAACAGGACCTACATTACCCAGGAGGAAAAGGCACTGCCAGGACACAAGCCTATGAAAGACAGGCTTACTCTTTTGTTGTGTGGTAATGCTAGTGGGGATTTTAAGTGAAGCCTTTACTTGTGTATCACTTAGAAAATCCCAGTGTGTTCAAGAAAAACAATGTCATGAAGAATAGATTGTGTGTGATGTGGAAAGCTAATCAAAAGGCATGGGTCACAAGGCAATTTTTCAAAGAGTGGGTTAATGATGTGTTTGGCCCAAGTGTGAAAAAATACCTCCTGGAAAAGAAATTGCCACTCAAGTGCCTTCTGATACTGGACAATGCTACTGCACATCCTCCAGTCTTGCAAGACCAAGTGTTTAAGGATTTCAGTTTCATCACAGTGAAGTTCTTGCCTCCTAACACCACTCCTCTCCTCCAGCCCATGGACCAGCAGGTCATTTCTAACTTCAAAAAACTCGACACAAAAGCAGTGTTTCAAAAGTGCTTTGAAGTGATGTCGGACACTCAGTTGACCCTAAGACAGTTCTGGAGGAATCACTTCACTATCCTCCACTGCATAAGCCTTATAGGTAAGGCTTGGGAGGAAGTGACTTCCAAGACTTTGAACTCTGCTTGGAGAAAACTGAGGCCAGATTGTGTCCAAGAGAGGGATTTTGAAGGGTTTGAGGCTGACCCTGACCCTGCCGACCCTGTGGACTCTATTGTGGCACTGGGAAAGTCCCTGGGGTTGGAGGTGAGTGGCAAGGATGTGGAAGAGTTGGTGGAGGACCACAGGGAAGAGCTAACCACTGAAGAGCTGCAAGAGCTTCAACTTGAACAGCAACAGACTGCAGCTGAGGAACTTGCTTCAAAGGAGGAGGAAGAGGGAGTGAAGGAGGTGCCTTCTTCAGAGATTAAAGAGGTGTGTGCAATGTGGACTAGGGTGCAAGCTTTTGTAGAGAAACACCACCTGACAAAGCTGAAACAAGCCATATGTACAACATGTTTAGTGACAAAACCCTGTCCCACTTCAGGGAAATCTTAAAGAGATGCCAGAAACAGAGCACTCTGGACAGTTATTTTGCAAGACAGGGGTCCAGTGACTCTCAAGCTGGTCCTAGTGGCATTAAAAGACAAAGAAGGGAAGTAACCCCAGAGAAGGCTTTGTTACCTAAAGTCTTTATGGAGGGGGATTCCCCTTCCAAACACTAACTCCTCCCTCTTTCCTCTTCCCTATCTTCCAGAAACCAGCATTAGCCTTCAATAAAGGTATGTAATACTTACATAATTGTTAATTTTTTTTTTTTGTAAATATTTTTGTCTGGAACGGATTAATTGTATTTCCACTAATTCTTATGGGAAATATTAATTCGGTTTTCGACCATTTCGGCTATCAGCCGACCTTCTGGAATGGATTACGGCTGATAACCGGGGGTCCTCTGTATTTCCCTACAATATATTTGTGCCCCAAACATTCACGAATGTTGAAAATTCGCAAAGTTCTTGATCCCCTAACCCTCGCGAATGTGGAGGCTGCTTGTAGTATGTAATAATAATCACTCTTAGGCACATTAAATGTCTTATTTTAGGTTAATACAGACAATTTCATTTATCCATCTATGATATTTTCTTCAAAATTATGCTATAAGAAACACATTACATAGCATATAAACATGCAATGTTTATATGCTATTAACCCTTTCAGGGTCGCCAGGCCCTCTCCGAGACTCATTCTCAGGGTCGCCCAAATTTAGAAAAAAAAATTATTTTTTCTTATGAAAAGACAGAAAATCTTTTCTCGATCATAATGACACCAAAAGTATGAAATTTGATGGAAAACTTACGGAATTATGCTCTCGCAAAGTTAGCAGTCCCGACGATGTTTGTGCATCAGCGATTTTGCCCACTTTGAGCTCTATTTTTGGCCAATTCCAGTGTACTAGTCGACAAAAATCATAACTACTTCGCTAGAACTCCATTTTTTCTATCGAATGAGTACAAGAAACCACCCATTTACCGATTTCAACTATCCAATAAAGTGGTCAGAATTTAGCAATTTTGCCAATTTCACACAAACTTC